GACAGATTGAGACTCTGTCTCAAAAAAAAAAAAAAAAAAAAAAAAAATCAATGATTGGCTGGGTGCAGTGGTTTGCGCCTGTAATCCCAGCAGTTTGGAAGACCGAGGCAGGTGGATCATTTGAACTCATGAGTTCCAGACCAGCCTGGACATGAGCCCCCGCACCTGGCCTCTTAATTTCAATTTAAATGGCAGAGCTAAGATTTTTCTATGGCAAAATTATCTTAATTATTCTAAGTTAAACAAAAGTTCCTAATACTCTAATGATAAAGTTACTCTACCGTATTTCCCATTAAAGGTTTATTTCCAGTCATAGGTTTTTTTTTTGTTGTTGCTGTTGTTGTTTTGTGATCAAGTCTCACTCTGTCACCCAGGGTAGAGTGCAGTGGTGCAAATCTTGGCTCACTGCAACCTCCGCCTCCCAGGTTCAAGCAGTTCTCCTGCCTCAGCATCCCAAGCAGCTGGGACTACAGGCATGCATCAACAACACACTTGGCTAGTGTTTGTATTTTTAATAGAGATGAGGTTTCACCTGTTGGCCAGGCTGATCTGGAACTCCTGACCTCAGGTGACCCACCCACCTTGGCCTCCCAAAGTTCTAGGATTAGAGGTATGAGCCACCATGCCCAGCCCTAGGCATAGTTTTAAATGACATTTATCTATTGGCTTTTCTGTTTAGTTTTTTATGTGATAATCAAACTGATAAATTTTAACCATAAAGAAAGTTAACAACCTTTTAACTTATAAGCACTTTGAAGTTTATTTTACAGCACTTTAATTGAAACATTATTTAACTACTGACCAGGACCATTTACAAATTTAATGCTTGGCCTTCGAGCCAATTAAAAACCTTTAAGTACTAAAATTTTACATCGTGATTTGTTTTGTTATGATGGTGAAAACAGAAGAAAAATCTAAAGCAAAAATATAATGATTTCCACAAAAACCATATATTTCTCCCTTATATTAAAGGGAAGAAAGAAGAAAGGAAAAAGAAAAGGAGGGGGAAATAGGGTGACAAGAAAAGAGGGCATGATAGGCAAGAAAAATACATTTTCCCCCCAATTTTCAAAAAGAAGGGAAACTCTTTGAGGTTTCAGCAAATTAGGTATTCAACTGAGTCAGTTTATATTAAGGCATTTTCTTTACATATTATTGAATCCCATCATGCCTTTCATGTTGCCAGCAGCACCCTGTTGAAACTGCCTCATCATTGATTGAAGTCCTGCCATACCACCTAGAACAAAAGTAGGGAAACAGAGTTAAAAACAGACAATTATTAAGCAGAGCTGGAAACATTACTTTTTTTTTTTTTTTTTAAATAGAGATGGGGTTTCACCTTGTTGGTCAGGGTGGTTTCGAACTCTTGACCTCAGGTGATCCACCCACCTCAGCCTCCCAAAGTGCTGGGATTACAGGGGTGAGCCACCATGCCCAGCCTAACATTTATTACTTTTGCCTAATAAGTACTTCTAAAAATACTGAATTCTGATTGCAGTTTAGTCATCAGCCTTAAAGAACATGCCACCTAAAAATTTATATTATCACCAGTATCGTCATCAATAAAAGAGAATGAATACCCTATCTTATGGAGTTATTGTGAGGAATAAATGAGGTGATACTTAAAAAGATCTTAGGGTAGTACCCATCACACAGTCAATAAATCTAAACAAAAGGCCGGGTGCAGTGGCTCACACCTGTAATCCCAGCACTTCTGGAGGCTGAGGTGGGCAGATCACCTGAGGTCAGGAGTTCAACAACAGCCTGACCAACATGGAGAAACTCCGTTTATTTTTATTTTTTTTATTTTTGTAGAAAGTGATTTATTTAGAGAGAGAGAGAAACAGGAGAAGGAGAGAGAAAGAAATAGCTAACTCTCACACTGAGTGAGAGAATGCAGAAAGATGGAATGCAGGAGAGGAAAGCAGCTTCCACACTGAGTGGACGGGAACAGAGAGAGATGGAGTTTAGGAGAAGAGAGGCTCCCACGAAGGGAGTGTTCGTGGAAGGGGATCCAAACATGGAGTCTCAGGAACTCTGTTTCTATTGAAAATACAAAATTAGCCGGGCGTGGTAGCACATGCCTCTAATCCCAGCTACTCAGGAGGCTGACGCAGGAGAATCTCTTGAACCCAGGAGGCAGAGGTTGCGGTGAGCCAAGATTGGCCACTGCACTCTAGCCTGGCAACAAAAGTGAAACTGTCTCAAAAAAAAAAAAAAAAAAAAATCTAAAATTTTTTTCTTATAAATCCAAAAGGGTCTTCCTCTAAGTTACGTAAAAAATAATCAATAGGGAATTATTTCATAGGACTTACAAAAAGAAAGTAATTCATTTATTGAACATCTACTATATGCCCAGAAATCATACTGAATGTTTTCATATATATCATTTCATTTAATTGTCACAATTTGTTGATGAGATACGATCTGTGATTTTACAGAAGGGGAAAGTGAGGTTCAGAAAGCTTAAGGAACTTTGTAAAGGTTATACAGTCAAAGTAGAACTAAGGTTAAAAATCCTCAGTCGTATCATTAAAAATATCCAGGTTCTAAAACAAGGGAAAAAGTCACCAGAACAAACAAACAAAAGATGATTAAATAGCTTGCTCAAACAAAAGATGATTAAAAATCACAAAGATGGCAGCAGAGCACTGAATAAGACCTCAGCTAATAAGCCACTATTACAATTTAATTCAACTTAGGATTCAGATGACCATTTCCCTAAAATCACACATCTTTTGAACAGATTTTCATACTATCACAATAAAAAGCTTATAATTAAAACTCAACCCTTATAAATTAAACTACATTAGCAACTGCCAACAACTTGGTATTTACCCATGTGATGAAGAACTCTAGGATCCATCATTTTGGCCATTTGTTGGTTCAACTTTGCCATCTGTGACTGGCTCACATTCTTAGACATGTCGCCACCTGAAAAAAAAAAAAAAAAGATTTTGAGTCAGTGTGGGAGGTAATATAATCAGGGTATAACAGAAAGTTTGAGGGGGCTGGGCGCAGTGGCTTATGCCCGTAATCCCAGCAGGCATGGCAGACCAAGGCTGGCAGATCACTTGAGGCCAGGAGTTTGAGAACAGCCAGGCCAACATGGTGAAACCCTGTCGCTACTAAAAATATAAAAATTGGCCGGGTGCAGTAGCTCACACCTGTAATCCCAGCACTTTGGGAGGCCAAGGAGGGTGAATCACGTGAGGACAGGAGTTCAAGAATAGCCTGACCAACATGGAAAAACTCCATCTCTAATAAAAATACAAAATTAGCTGGGTGTGGTGACGCATGCCAGTTATCCCAGCTACTCTGGTAGATGAGGTAGGAGAATCGCTTGAACCTGGGAGGCAGAGTGAGCTGAGATGTGCCACTGCACTCCAGCCTGGGCAACAAGAGCGAAACTCTGTCTCAAAAATAGTAATAATAACAAATAAATAAAAAGTAATAAAAAATAGCAAGTTTGATGAACTGAGTAAATACAAAGAAGATACAAATACAAAGAGTAAATACAAAGAAAAAATTACATAATCTTATCACTCTAACATAATTATTTCTATTTTAACATATTCCCTTCTAATCTTTATCTCAATTACATACTATTTTTTGAAGAACATGTAAAATTCTATATAAAAGGATATTTAAAGGACTTTCTTAAGGCTATGATTTATGCTAATACTTTACTTATATTTGTGAATAAGTCACCATTAGTAAAATTGTACCTTTTTTTTTTTTTTTTTTTTTTTTTTGAGACAGAGTCTTGCTCTGTCCCCTAGGCTACAGTGCACTGGCATGATCTCGGCTCACTGCAAGCTCCACATCCCATGTTCAAGTGATTCTCCCTGCCTCAGCCTCCCAAGTAACTGGGATTACAGGTACCCACTACCACACCTGGCTAATTTTTGTATTTTTAGTAGAGACGAGTTTTCACCATCTTGGCCAGGCTGGTCTCGAACTCCTGACCTTGTGATCCGCCTACCTCGGCCTCCCAAAGTGCTGGGATACAGGCATAAGCTACGGTGCCGGGCCTATTTTTTGTATTTTAAGTAAAGACAGGGTTTCACCATGCAGGCCAGGCTGGTCTTCAACTCCTGACCTCAAATGATCTGCCCCTCTTGGCCTCCCAAAGTGCTAGGATTATAGGCATGAGCCATCACACCCAGCCAAGAATTATATTTTGAAGACTATTTGACAACATGAAAAAACAGTTATGATATATCAGAAGAAAACATTAGTTATAGCAACTGTTTTTTTTTTTTTTTTTTTTTTTAAAGACAGGGTTTCACCATGTTGGTCAGGCTGGTCTTGAACTCCCGACCAGAGGTGATCTGCCCGCCTTGGCCTCCAAAGTGCTTGGATTACAGGCGGGAGCCACTGCGCCCAGCCTAGTTATAGCAACTGTTATTTGCAGTAGGATCCATTGGATTCTCTGGGGAGTAAAGGTAATTTTTTTCCTTATATTATCTAAATTTAATATAATGTCTTCATAAAAATAAAATCATTAAGTTTTATTTTTTATTTTTTCATTTACCCACACTACAAAGATGTAAGTTTTTTTTTTTTTAATTAATGTTTATTACTTGACTATGAAAACAGATAAATCACAGGTCACTCTATCAATGCTGGAAGTACTTGAAAATAACATGAAATTCAGCTGTGAATTCAGTACTCTTAACTTTTTTCTCAGCTTACTTCTTTTCAGTCTGTTAACTAATAACAAGCTTATTTTTTCTTACCTTTGAAAAGTCCTTTGATACCTCCCATCTTTTTTACCATCTGTGCAAACTTGGTATATTGAGTCAATAGTTCTTGAACATCTCTTGTTGATACACCTGATCCTCTTGCTACTCTTTGGATTCTTCCTGGTTGTTTACTAAAAACTTTGGCACCATCCGTACTGTCTAGTTCTGTAGACAAGGGTCAATTACTCTCACACACAATTATTTACCATCAAAGCAGTTGTGTGCAGATGGGCAATATATAACTTCAGATAGCTTAGCAGGTATGTTTTTAAAGTGATAACTATCTCATTTTTCTCCTATATTACAAAATATTTTACTTATAGAAAAACAGACATAATACATAGTCAAAACACCAGATTTAACAAATGTTATAATTCACTGTTTGCATTTGATTTTTAAAAATTAAACACAGAATATATTCAAAGAACATTCATAGTATTCCTAAGCTATAAACAAACAAACATGTACTTTCCCTACAGATTAAGTAAACTATTAATAGAATGTTTTGAGACCCCATGTCCACCACTTCCATACTTCATATGTCCACCTTCTCCAGGCCCTCCAAACACCAGAGGTATATGGTATATTTCAAAAATGAACACAGATGCCCACCTTAGCTCTACCCTAAATAACTATTAATCATTAATTCATAAATTTAGACTGTATAAGCAGGCAGGAGATAGGTTCTATCCATAATCAACAGAAAAATTATTTCCTATAATCAAGTAATTACTACTATTAGTATTTTAGTTCTCTCAGTAGCATATAAACAGTGAATTAATTCCCAGTTGATCACTCTTAGAATATGAAGTGCATTTCTTCTGGCTTCAGTTGCACGCAATCTCAAGAAGGGATGGACATTAGTCCATTATATCTGCATTCCCTCTGCAATATCCCCTAGGTAAATGGTTATTTAGCCTTGGTCTTAATATCCAGGAGAGATGACCTGCTATCTAATGTAAGGCTGTCTATGCCATTCTGTTATACTTAGGGAAAAATCTTTTCTTTTCACATATTAAATTGAAGTCCATTTACCTGGCACGTCCATTCCTATTCATGTATATGTCTCCTTGCCAGACATAAAAAATAAGGCTTTCAAAATCTTTTTTTTTTTTTAGACACAGAGTCTTGTTCTGTCATTCAAGCTGGAGTGCAGTGGCGCAAGCTTGGCTCACTGCAACCTCCACCTCCAGGGTTCAAGCGAGTCTCCCACCTCAGGCTCCCGGGTAGCTGGTACTACAGGCACACGACACCACAGCCAGCTAGTATTTTTGTGTTTTTTTTAAAGACAGGTTTCACCATGTTGCCCAGGCTGGTCTCAAACTCCTGACCTCAAGTGATCCACCCACCTTGGCCTTCCAAAGTGCTGGGATTACAGGTGAGAGCCACCACACCTGGCCAACTTTCAAACTCGTAAGAGCCACCATGTCTCCTGTGAATTTCTGCTGGGTGACAAATATCCAACTCTTGACTCTTCTCTCATAACATGCACTAGAATCCCATTTATCATCCTGATTTCCTGTATCTTCTAATTGCCTATACCCTCTAAATATATTATGCAGAAGTGAACTGAAATCCAGCTGAAATCTAATTATCAATGCAATACTAACAAAGACATAATATCTCAAAAATAAACTTAAGGTCAAAATCTCCAAATCCATTTCATAAATGTGCTTTTAAGCCTCACCTTCATTATGAAATATATATGCTATTCCTTCCAACAGCTCAAATCAAATGAAAGATAAACTAATAGCAGCACATTATGGCAAGCAATATGACAAGAGTTAAGCAAATAGTGGAAGGGGCCTTAATTCAAAGGAAGGAAGGAAGTCAGGTAAGATTCTGTGATGGGCAAATTACTCAATTTCCCTGTACCGTAGTTTCCTAATATGACAAAGGCAGAGAATAAATGAATATGCCATAGGAGCTGTTATGATGACAATATGAATTCATATATGTAAAGTGCTCAGGACAGTGCCTAGCACAGAACAGATACTTTAGATATGCTGTAGTCCTAAAAGGACAAATGTGAGTAAAAAGAAGAGAAAGGAGCAAGGAATACTTTCAGAAGCAAAACATGGATTCCTAAAATAAACAACCAGTTTTCTGTAAAAGGGCTGAGCACAGATGAGAGCTGAGAGATTTAAAACGCTGAAAAGGCAGGTAATGTCAAAATTATGATAGAACTTGTATTCAGGTTCAGGAGTTTGGAATTAATAAAAGCAATAAAGAACCACTAAAGAATTTAGACCCCAGGATTGTTATTACTGAAAAGACTATTCTGGTGGCACCAAAGAAGAAAGATTAAAACAGGAATGCAATAAAGAAAGGGGAAATAGGAGGAGGCTACTGGAGTAATCCAGGTAAGAAATGACAAGAGTATAAATTAACTCAGGGTAATACAGAGACAAATATAAGAGGGAAGATGAGAGAAATATAGGAAGTATGACTCAGCAAATCTAAGGTGATGTTAAGGTTTCTACATTCCACTTGAAGTAGCAAAATACTGATATATGTAGACTGTGATAAATTAAGCATTTGCAGGCCGGGCATGGTGGCTCACACCTGTAATCCCAGGACTCTGGGAGGCAGAGGCAAGTGGATCACCTGAGGTCAGGAGTTCGAGACCAGTCTGGTCAACATGGTGAAACCCCATCTCTAGTAAAGAATATAAAATTAGCCAGGCATGGTGGCACATGCCTGTAATTCCAGCTGCTTGGGAGGCTGAGGCAGGAGAACTGCTTGAACCTGGTAGGCAGAGGGTGCAGTGAGCCGAGATTTCACCACTGGACTGCAGCCTGGGTGGCAGAGTGAAACTCCAACTCAAAAAACACTAATTAAGCATGTGGACAACAAAACCACAGCTCATATAAAGAAAAAAGAAAAAAAAATTAAGCATGTGCATATAGTATAATGCCTAGAGCAACCATTAAGAAAAGTATTCAAAGAGATATTTTCAAAACTATTATAGGTAAATTAAAATGAAATACTAATTAATATTCGGGTAACCCACAGGAAAGCAGAAAAGGAGAAACAAGAATAAAAATCAGAGGGCATAAACAAACGAATAATAAAATGACAGAACTAAATCCTAACATAGCAATAATACACCCATTAAAAGACAAAGATTATCAGAATATTTTTAAAAATAACCCAATTATATGCTGTCAACATGAAACTCACTTCAAATATGAATAGGTAGGTGCTATGATCTGAATGTTGTATGTCCCCTAAAAATTCATGTTGAAACTTAGTCCCTAAAGCAACAGTATTAAAAGGCGTGGCTTCTGGGAAGTAATTAGGTTATAAGGGCGCTACCCTCAAGAATGGATTGGTAGCCAGGCATGGTGGTTAATGCCTGTAATCCCAGCTCAATCTCAGGCCAAGGTGGGCAGATCACTTGAGTCCAGGAGTTCAAGACCAGTCTGGGTGACATGGTAAAGTCCAACTCAACAAAAAATACAAAAATTAGCTGGGCATGGTGGTGCATGTGTACAGTCAGAGGCTGAGGCAGGAGGATTGCTTGAGTCCAGGAGGCAGAGGTTGCAGTGAGCCAAGATTGCAACATTGCACTCCAGCCTGGACAACAGAGTAAGACACCCATCTCAAAAACACAGACACACACACACACACACACACACACACAATGGATTAGTGGTCTTGTAAAAGGGCTGGAGAAAACAAGGCCCCTTTTTTGTCCTTCTGCCCTTCCACCATGTGAGGACACAGCCATTTGCCACTCTGGAGGCACAGCAAAAAGGTACCATCTTGGAGGCAGAGACAAGACCAGCAGCACAAATCTTGGGCTCTTCTCAGCCTCAGGTATTTTGTTATAGCAGCACAAACAGACTTAGACAGTAGGTTAAAAGTAAAAGGAATAGGTCAGGCACTTTGGCTCACGCCTGTAATCCCAGCACTTTGGGAGGCTGAGGCAGGTGGATTATGAGGTCAGGAGTTTGAGACCAGTCTGATCAACATAGTAAAACCATGTCTCTACTAAAAATTACAAAAAACTAGTCAGGCGTGGTAGTGTGCACCTGTAATCCCAGCTTCTTGAGACGCTGAGGCAGGAGAATCACGTGAACCTGAGAGGCGGAGGTTGCAGTGAGCTGAGGTCGCACCATTGCACTCCAGCCCGGGTGATAGTGTGAGGGTCTGTCTCAAAAACAAACAATCAAGCAAAAAACAGTGAAAGGAAGGCCAGGTGTGATGGCTCACACCTGTAATCCCAGCGCTTTGGGAGGCAAAGGTGGGCAGATCACCTGAGGTCGGGAGTTCGAGACCAGCCTGACCAACATGGAGAAACCCCAGCTCTACTAAAAATACAAAATCAGCCAGGCATGGTGGTGCATGCCTGTAATCCCTGCTACTGGGGAGGCTAAGGCAGGAGAATCGCTTGAACCCAGAAAGCAGAGGGTGCAGTAAGCCAACACGGTGCCATTGCATTCCAGCCTGGGCAACAAGAGCAAAACTCCATCTCGAAAAAAAAAAAAAAACCAGGAACAAAGAGGGATGTGACATAATGATAAAAGGGTCAATCACCAGGAAGACAAAATCCTAAATCTGAATGCACCCAACAAAAGAGTTTGAAAACACATGAAGCAAAACTGACACAAGTGACAGGAGAAAATTTAAGTCACTCTCATACTTCGATATCAATAATCAATAGAACCTCTAGAGAGAAAATCAGCAAGGATATATCTAGGTTCACCCCAGTTTCTAGCTTAGGTGATGCGGTAGATAGATGAAGTATCACTTACCAAGGAAGAAGTGCTACTTTTGAATCCCAAATGTCTTGGAAAACTTTCAAACATGTAAGAAGAAAAGTCTATCTAGCATTTAGGAGCACCTAGAGAGGCAGTTTTCAAGACCATGGACTTGTACCAGAATGCTTAGGTTTCAAGTCCAGCCTCTCCATTCTCTAGTAACCTTGGGCAAATTACTCAACTTCCCTGTACCACAGTTTCCTAATTTGAAAAAGGAAGATAATAACTGAATATGCCACAGGAGTTGTCATGATGATAAAATGAATATGTAAAGTGTTCAGGACAGTGCATGGCACCGAATGGATACTTGAGATATGTTGCAATTATGAATTCTACATGCAAACATTTTTGCAGTGTCAGAGATGGTGATGAAAAAGATAATGTTAAAAGAAAAAGACAGTCTTATTTGGGTTACTATGAAAACCTGGAGCTCAGGAAAAAGAGACTACAAAAAAATAATAAATCACAGATATGAATAATTGTTCAAATTGTTAGAATATTACATAAACTTAGTTGAAAAAGAGCAGCAGGGTTTGAGAGAACTGACTCCAATTTTGAAAGAAGTTCTACTGTGGGTAAAATGCTATTGAATAGCACTGAATACTACAGAGACATCTTTTGTGAAAAGAAGAGTCAATCCATGGGGCAAATTTCATTCTTGTTTTTTAAAAAATTGCCAGAGCCACCTTGACCTTTGGCAACCATCACCATAATCAGTTAGCAGTCATCAACATTAAGCTAAGACCCTCTACCAGCAAAAAGATTATGATGCACTGAAGGCTTTAGATGATCATTAGCATTTTTAGCAATAAACTTTTTTTCTTTTGAGAGGGAGTCTTGCTCTGTCACCCAGGTTGGAGTACAACGGTGCAATCTCAGCTGACTGAAACCTCTGCCTCCCGGGTTCAAGAGATTCTCCTGCCTCCCCTCCCAAGTAGCTGGGACTATGGGTGCACAACACCACACCTGGCTAATTGTTGTATTTGTACATCGTTTTTTAGACATAATGCTCCTGCACACTTAATAGATACAGTATACATATGTGTAAACATAACTTTTATATACACTGGAAAACCAAAAAATTAGTTATGACTCATTTTATTGCATGATATTTCCTTTATTGCAGTGGTTGAGAACCATACTCACAATATCTCTGAGGTATGCCTTTACAGGGTCAGGGAGACAGAGCAGTATACTGAGAGAACTAAAACCTTATGTTTCAGACCAAAAGAATTTTGTAAGCATTGCTTAAGCTATCCATCTCTTACAGTTTCCCAATGTATGCTAACAATATTAAAGCTATGAATAGACTTTCAATAAATTTTTTTTTTTCGTAGAGACAGAGTCTTGCTATGTTGTCTTAAACTCCTGGCCTCAAGTAATCCTTCCACCTTGGGCTGCCAAAGTGCTAGGATTACAGGTGTGAGCCACCTCACTTGGCCAAATTTAATTCTTAAAAACCAGCATTCAACCAAATTTGACTACAGAGTTCTCCTTTTCATTTATCTCTGTCAACATCATGAAGAACTAGTGTTCTTTCCTTGTAACTCATTTGGAGAAGTACTGTACTAGACATTTCTCTCAGTGATGAAGGCAATCCAATAATCATAACTAAGAGCCTTCAAGCTATTATAAATCTACGTAAAAATACTCTTTCAATCTAAATTTCTGACCATCTTGTCCACGAGAACACAGTGCAACTAACTTACTGATATTTAGAACATTGTCACCTGAGATAAATAATCTGCCATCTTACCTTGATCATTCATACTATCCATTATTGTCATTAATTTCTTTAGCCTTGCCATTGACTCCTGTTCATTTCCTTTGCTCATAAAATCTGTTCCAAAACCAGGGATCATCCCCTAAAACAGATTTAAATATAAAGTAAATGATAGCTTAAGATTAACTGTTCAAAATGTCCACATTTAACAATTAGGTTTTTGACATTAAGTCTTAAGATATCTATTTTTACTCAAGTGTAAAAAATAATTAAAGCAAGTATATTTATTCTTAGAAATTTTAATGAAAACAAAAGAAGGTATAAATAAATTTTTAAGGATAACTAACCAAGATCTGACTGAAGGGGCCCATTTTCATGATATTTTGAAATTGCTCATACATGTCTCGCAATGTAAACTGACCTGAAATACAAATAATTTGGATATATTAGAGAACGAACATTTCCATTCAACAGAAGTAATTTCTTCCTTAATCATGAATTCATCTTGAAGCGTACTTATAAAATACACAATCAATAAGTATTCACTAAGCAGTTACCATGTGCAAGATGACAGGATGAATGCTGGGGAGAATATACAGACACATAGGTCCTATCCTAGAGAAGCTTACATTCTATCTGAGAAGACACAAATGCAAACACACAAGAAACCTGAAAACAAGGCACATAAACTAGACCTACTAGGATAAGTAAAATTTATAACAGATTGACAGTATCAAAAGTTCAAGAGGATATGTACCACAAAGAACTCCCATATATTGCTGGTGAGAATATAAAATAGCAAAACACTTTAGAAGATTGTTTGGAGTTTCTTAAATAGCTTAGTTATCTATGAACAGGAAAATGGGAAAAATATGATACACTGTGGGAAAAATACTTTTCAGCAATAAAAAGAACAAACTATAGATAAGTGCAACTACATGAATGAATATCAAAATATGGTTAGTCAAAGAAAACAGATTAGAAAAAAAGGATATACTCAGAATTTCTTTTTTTTTTTTTTTTTTTTTAAGAGGGTTGTGCTCTATCACCCAGACTGGATTGCAATGGCACAGTCATAATTCACTGGTAGCCTCAAACCTGAGGTCTGATCCTGAGCTCAAGTGATCCTCCTGCCTCAGTCTCCAGAGTAGCCAAGACTACAGATGCATGCCGCTGGATTTTTCTTAAGAGATAGGGGTCTCCCTATGTTACCCAGCCTGGTCTCAAATTCCTGGCCTGAATTGATCCTCTCACTTTGGCCTCCTAAAACACTGGGATTACAGTGTGAGCCACCATGCACAGCCCAGGAATTCTATAATATGAAGCATTACTGGAAATGGGCATAAACAAACCTTTTAGAGTAATGGATACATTCTGTTTCCTGATTGGGTGTGGGTTACTGTGCATTTGCGGAAAAAAAAAAAAAAAGGTATCCTTGAGGGGCGTAGTGGTTCACACCTGTAATCCCAGCACTTTGGGAGGCAGAGGCAGGTAGATCACGAGGTCAGAAGTTCAAGACCAGCCTGGCAAATATGGCGAAACCCCGTCTCCACTAAAAAAAAAAAAAAAAAAATACAAAAATTAGCTGGGTGTGGTGGCACACACCTGTAATCCCAGCTACTTGGGAGGCTGAGGCAGGAGAATCACCTGACCAAGGTTATTCAAGATAGAAAAAGGAAGAAGCAGGTAGGCATGGTGGCTCATGCCTGTAATTCCAGCACTTTGGGAGGCGAAGGTGGGCGGATCACCTGAGGACAAGAGTTCAAGACCAGCCTGGCCAACATGGTGAAACCCTGTCTCTACTAAAATACAAAAATTAGCCAGGAGTAGTGGTGCACGCCTCTAGTCCCAGCTACTGGGGAGGCAGAGGCAGAACTGCTTGAACCTGGGAGGCAGAGGTTTCAGTGAGCTGAGATTGTGCCAATGCACTCCAGCCTGGGCAACAGAGGAAGGTTCCATCTAAAAAGAAAAAGGAGCAAAGAAACAGGCAATGAAGGATAAATTCATTCATTCAATAGTAACTGAAGACCTACTATGTGCCAGATACTGTGTTAGGTACTGTGAACATAAAAGATGAGTAACACAGCTATGACTTCTACTTTTACCTTTTAGCAGAGAAAACAGATATCAAATAATTGCGATGAATAATACAAAAATTGTAGGAAGTGATAGAAACATCTATCAGAAAGTTCCAACTCAGTCTAGGGTTCAAGTAAAATGTCCCTGAAAAAGGACATTTAGTGTAAGTAGGGTGCCATATTAGCTAGAGGAGAGGAAGGTAGAGGTGAGAAGAGAGATAGAGGGACTAGCAAAGTCAACAGCCCAGATGTGAGAGACAGAAATGTACATTTGAGAAATTGAAAGAAGTCCAGCATAGCTGATACATAGAATACTAAGAACAACAGTGCTAAAACACAACATGGAAGATGAGAGCTAGATGGTAAAATCAGTTAAAAATTTTATAAGGGCAACAGAAAGCCACTAAAGAACTTTAAGACGAGCAGTAATGGGATCAGATGTGCATTTGTGAAAAATCATTTTGGCTGTACTATGAAAAAATACATCAAAGGGGAGGAGTATTGGAAGGTGGAAGATCTGTTGAAAGACTCACAATAAACAATCTAGGAAAGAGATGAACTAGCATAGCCGTAGGGCGGCTACAGAGAAGGGGATGGAATGGAGATATTTAGGATGTAGAAATGCTAGGACTAGCTAACTGATGGAGAAAGGAGCGGGCAGGGTGAGGAAGAAATAATAATGACACCTAAGTTTCTGACTCTGGTAACAATATAAATGATGTTAACATTCATTGATGAGACAAGGAGGTGAGAGGTTGGGATAGGATGATAAGGATATGCTGAATTTGAGGTGTCTATGCAACATCAAAGAATGGTCTAGTAAACACAGATACATGAGTCTGAAGCTCCAGGGAAAGATGACTTAGAATGATCCCTGAGAAACATTAGCATTTAAGAGAAAAGTAAAGGCATAATTATTTGATGAAATGAGTGAGAAGAAGCAAAGAGGCAGAATTTTTGCTATGGTAAATAAGTAAAAGATTATTTTTAGAAAAACCAGAATGGTAGAGAATAAAATACATTAAATGTTTATGATGTGCCGGAGATTGTACATGTATCAGGTAATGCAATCTTCACAACCATATGAAGTAGTATTATGTACTTTTTATAGATGACAAAATTGAGGCTAAGTAATCTCAAAAAGTTAATACAGCCAAAAAATACATCAGAGATACAAGTACAGGTATGTTATATTTAAGAACCTGAGCTCCTAATCAGAATAATATCCTTCTCTACAGGAGGGGTCTTTCATGTGGAGTAAAGAAAATGTGGTATATTTAATTTCATCTTTTTACATTTCTTTTTATATATTATGCATATATATGAAGAAATTTATAAGAAAACAGATTAGAAGGGTGTGTTCTAACTTACTTTTAATGTGTTTAACTTCAAGGAACCAGCAGAGCGCAGTGGCTCACACCTGTAATCCAGCACTTTGGGAAGCTGAGGTGGGCAGATCACCTGAGGTTAGCAGTTTGAGATCAGCCTGGTCAACATGGGGAAACCCCATCTCTACTAAAAATACAAAAATTAGCCAGGCCTGGTGGTGCGTGCCTTTAATCCCAGCTACTCAGAAAGCTGAGGCAGGAAAATCACTTGAACCCAGGAGGAAGCGGCTGCAGTAAGCCAAGATTGCGCCACTGCACTCCAGCCTGGTAACAGAGTGAGTCTCTGTCTACAACAAACAAACAAAAAAACCTCAAGGAACCTAATGAAAGCCTTGATTTTAATCTTAATTTTAATAAAAACACTGAATTCTATAACAGTTCAGATGACTAAGATTTAAAATAATTTGCATATAAATCATCTAAAATAATAAGCAGAAGATATAACTAATAAAATTACATTTCAAACAACTTAATAGTAACTTTATAAAAAAAATTAATGGAAGACATCTGAGATCAAGTTCTCTTTTGTCATTCATATACCATGTTTCAACTTCTCTATAAGTGCTTCATTGTCATCCAACTTCAACTCGTTGACTTTATCTATCAGTCCTTCAATGTCACCCATACCTATAAGATAAAAAAAGAAAAATTAACAACTAACACTATACCTTGCTTTACATTATACAAAACACATTCACATACATAATAATCTTGTGAGGTTATGATGATGGGTTAGGTATTCTTACTACACTATGCAAATGAGAAAACTGAAGCTAAGAAAGTTAAGTGGCATGACTGGGCGCAGCAAATCTGCCTGTAATCCCAGCACTTTGGGAGGCTGAGGCAGGTCACCTAAGGTCAGGAGTTTGAGACCAGCCTGGCCAACATGGTGAAACGCTGTCTTTACTAAAAATGCAAAAATTAGCTGGGTCTGGTGACGCATGCCTGTAATCCCAGCTACTAAGGAAGCTGAAGCAGGAAAATTGCTCGAACCTGGGAGGTAGAGGGTTCAGTGAACCAAGATTGCGGCACTGCACTCCAGCCTGAGTGACAAGAGCAAAATTCCATCTCAAAAAAAAAAGGAAGAAAGAAAGTCAAGTGGCAACAAAGTAGAAAAGCAGGGACTCCAGCCCAGGGTTTAACTCCAAATTCCATGTTCTCTAGCTATACCACCTTGAGACATTGCCAAAGTATTATTGCCCTTACATCCGCTATTAGTAAAACCACTTATTTTTGTATTGTGCTCTAAAGCTTTTCCAAAGAACTTTCCAAACCCCAGTGGGGTCTCCAAAAAAAAAAAAAAGAACTTTCTACTAGATACTTCATTTTACCACTTTCACCACAGAAAGCCAATAACCATTATCTCTATTTTACAGGTAAGGAAAATAAGTCATAGAAGGAAATGATGTTCTTAAATTAGTGAGGCAGAATTAAAATCCTATTTAGTCCTAAAGATACATAGTATTTCTCGGAGATTTTTCTATATCTCCACCACTGTACATACCAAGAAGTTTGCTAATAAAAGGCTGCGTTTTGAAAGGTTCAAAGTCATCTATATGTTCCCCTGTACCAATGAAAATAATAGGACTTTTTGTGGCAGCAACTCTGGAAAAAAAAAAAAAGAAAATATAAAATAACTTCAAAAGAACCCCATAAATGTCCAGCAGATCTGAAATTCGAAGTGAATCTGCCTCCAAAGCTAATTAGACAAAGGTACAAAACTCAAGTTTCATTTCACTAGTTACAAAAGAACTCTATCAGACAGGCTCCAAAATTGTTTCTTTTTAAACTTCCTTTATAAACCATACTAGGTTCACTAATGAAACATATTTTAAATGATCAATATGAAAGCTATAAACATATATCCTTCCCCATATAATCCCAAGTCAGAGGACAACAGTATCAATGATACTTACGCACTGAGCGCACCACCTCCTTTTGCATGGCCATCAAGTTTTGTCACTATTACTGAGGCTACATCTACTTTATCTTTAAAAGCCTTAGCTTGGGCTTCACAAGCCTGCCCAATGGAGGCATCCATCACATAAACAATGTTGTCAGGTTGCTAGAAAGTTTAAATAGAAAAGATACTTTAGAAAAGATGTGTATTGATCCTAAGCAAATGTCATCATTAGAAGCTATAAAACAATATTTAGAGCTGGGCATGTGGCTCATGCCTGTAATCCCAGCACTTTGGGAGGCCAAGACGGGTGGATCATCTGATGTTAGTGAGACCAGGCTGGTCAACATGGTGAAACCCTGCCTCTTCTAAAAATACAAAAAATAGCCAGCCTATAATCCCAGCCACTTGAGAGGCTCAGGCAGGAGAATCACTTGAACCCAGGAGGTGGAAGTTACAGTGAGCTGAGGTCACGCCACTGCACTCAGGCCTGGGCGACAAGAGTGAAACTCCATCTCCAGGGAAAAAAACCCCCACAATATCAGTATAAATAAGTGTTCAATCCATAAATATTTGTTGAGGAAGTACTATGTGCTATTAGGTACCATCTAGGTCCTGAGGACAAAAAAGGTAAATGTGAAAATCACTGTCCTAAGAAAACTGCATTCTAGTCAGAGGACATAGATAATAAATAAACATTTCAGATGTACAACAACGAAAATGGGATAAAGAGTATCAGTTTTGAAGTATATGAGGCATCTTCTAGGGAAGTCAGGGAAGGCCTCTCTGGACCTAATGTTTGACATCTTCTAGCAGGGTAGTCAGGGAAGGCCTCTCCGGACCTAATGTTTGAGCTAAGGGATGAATAAAGATGAAAAAGTTATACAAAGATTTGAAAGAATGGCATTCTAGGCAAAAAAAAAAAAGTGCAAAGGCAAATCAGAAAAAATATGAAGTAGGAGAGTGTATACTGAAAACAAAATAGATAAAATACACTAAGGCTATTTCCCTTAGATCTGCACAACTTGGTCAAAATAACAACATAACTAAAAAGAAACTTACTAGGATTAACCACAAACCAAAGAATTACTGCTAACACTCCAATGGCAAGATATCGGTTCCTAATAACATATGCTGCAAGTATCTATAAACTGCTTCTTCTCCCCTAAATTATTTTTATCACACTTTTAAAGAGACACAAAATGATGATGATTTCTTTTCTTTTTTTTTTTTTGAGACAGAGTTTCACTCTGTTGCCCAGGCTGGAGTGCAGTGGCATGATCTTGGCTCACTGCAACCTCCACCTCCTGGGTTCAAGAGATTCTCCTGCCTCAGCCCTCCGAGTAGCTAGGATTATAGGCGTGTGCCACCGTGCCCAGCTAATTTTTGTGTTTTTAGTAGAGACAGGGTTTCAACATGTTGGTTAGGCTGGTCTCGAACTCCTGACCTTGTGATCCACCTGCCTTGGCCTCCCAAAGTGCTAGAATTACAAGCGTGAGCCACTGAGCCTAGCTTTTTTTTTTTTTTTTTTTTTTTTTTTTTGAGATGGAATCTCACTTTGTCACCTGGGCTGGAGTGCAGTGGCACAATCTCGGCTCACTGCAACCTCCGCTTCCTGGGTTCAAGAGATTCTCCTGCCTCAGCCCTCCAAGTAGCTGGGATTATAGGCGTGTGCCACCATGCCCGGCTAATTTTTGTGTTTTTAGTAGAGACAGGTTTCACCATGTTGGTCAGGCTGGTCTCGAACTCATGACTTCGTGATCCACCCACCTCGGCCTCCCAAAGTGCTGGGATTACAGGCATGAGCCACCGCATCCGGCCCCATTAATATTTTTTAATGCTTCCTTTTGGAAAATTTTCAAAATTCATCTATTTCCAACTGAATTTTAAAAAGGAAATTCAATAGACATTAAAGGCTTATTACTAGTTTTTAAATGTTTTCTTATGGCTACTAACAGGATAAATGAGAAAGGAAATTATGTTTTCATACTTAAGAAAATTTTATATTTAATGGAGAGCAAAAATGATGAAATTAAGTCCTTACCACACAGATATAGATGCCCAAAACAAAAATAAATTACTTGGGATCTGCCTCACAGGCAAAGAGCAATTTATATTGGTCATATACTCAATCCGGTTTTGTAAATAAATTAACCGAAGTCCTAATAATGGCGTTACATTGAAAGCTACTTACTATAGCATTAGCAACTTGAAGCATTTCTTCAAACAAAGAGTCTTCTTGTTTGTGGCGGCCACTTGTATCAACAATAATAATTTCAAAATTTTCATTTTTAAATTTCTCTACTCCTTCAGAAGCAATAATAACAGGATCCATTTCTGTATAGCTATGTAACATGGACAAATGATTTAATAACAATGGCAAAACTTCCAAATATTATTAATTCAGAAATTGTTAGTCTACCTTTAAGCTATTTTGAAAAAGCCAAAATGACCCCGATTTCAATTTGGATAAAGAAAATCTATTAAGTATTAAATTCAGAATCTACTTCTAAAAAAGCATGAAGCATTATCTGATTTTCCAATTCCAAAACCCAGTATAATTCTACTACATGTCTTTTCTGAATGAATTGTCTCTCCTTCAAATTTATTTTTTATATCTTCTTTAATAACTGAACTCATGTTCACAGTGTTTCACATGTATTTTTCCATTTAACATCCATTTGGAAGCATTTTATAAAACCAGTAAATATTCCTGTAACAAGCCTGGGCAATATAGTGAGATTCCATCACTACAAAAATTTTAAAAACTAGCTGGCATAGTGGAATGCACATATAGTCCCAGCTACTTGGGAGGCTAAGGCAGGAAGACCACTTGAGTCCATGAGTTCGAGGCTGCAGTGAGCTTACGATCATGCAACTGCACTCCAACTTGGGCAACAGAGCAAGACCATGTCTCTTTAAAAATAACACAGAGGGGAGGCCAGGCGCGGTGGCTCAAGCCTGTAATCCCAGCGCTTTGGGAGGCCGAGGCGGGTGGATCACGAGGTCAAGAGATCGAGACCATCCTGGTCAACATGGTGAAACCCCGTCTCTACTAAAAATACAAAAAATTAGCTGGGCATGGTGGCACGTGCCTATAATCCCAGCTACTCAGGAGGCTGAGGCAGGAGAATTGCCTGAACCCAGGAGGCGGAGGTTGTGGTGAGCCAAGATCGCGCCATTACACTCCAGCCTGGGTAACATGAGTGAAACTCCGTCTCAAAAAAAAAAAACAAAAAAACAAAACAACAAAAATAACACAGAGGGGAAAAAAGAAAAAATATTTCTGTTAAAACATAACTTTCAAGTTATACAGCATTGTATCAGATGGCTATATTGTTTATTAAATAATGCCCTACCATTAGATATTTCATATTTTTCCAATTTCTTTTAAAAATTTTTTTAAATTTATTTTTTTGTAGAGATGAGGTCTTGCTATGTTGCTCAGGCTAGTGTCCAACTTCTGGGCTTAAGCGATCCTCCCACCTCAGCCTCTCAAAGTTCTGGGATTACAGAGGTGAGCCACTATGCATAGCAGTTTTCCCAATTTCTTGATATTAAAAATAAAGCCAATATAAATGATACATAAATGTTTCTTCTTTGGCACGATGTTATCATACACTCTTATAAGTTGAATTTGGAACAAATGGTATGATCATTTAAGGCTTTTCACTTTTATGAGGCAAACCTCATCCATAAAAGTTTAATCTGATCTCTATTTCACTACATTTTCACAGTCCCTAATAAAATCTTTGTCAACTTGAAAATCAAGAAATGAGATATTTTAATTCGCATTATTCTGATTAGTGGTAACTTTTTATATGCAGATCACTACTGTCAAGTAAAGACATATAACATTAAAAAAAAAAAGTTTTTCCCCTAAATTAAGATCACTGAAAACAGGTAGAAATACACTTAATATGTATGTGGTTGGGGACAGTGGCTCAAGCCTGTAAATCTAGCCCTTTGAGAGGCTGAGGTAGGGGGATCATTTGAGCCTAGGAGCTCAGGACTAGCCTAGGCAACATAGGATTAAAATAAAATTATATAAAAAAAAGTAGCGGGGCATGGCCAGGCACGGTGGCTCACACCTGTAATCCTAGCACTTTGGAAGGCCAAGGCAGGCAGATCACCTGAGGTCAAGAGTTTGAGACCAACCTGGCCAACATGGTAAAATTCCATCTCTAGTAAAAATACAAAAATTAGTCAGGCTTGGTGGCGGGCACCTGTGATCCCAGCTACTTGGGAGGTTGAGGCAGGAGAACTGCCTAAGCCCGGCAGGCGGAGGTTGCAGTGAGGCGAGATCGCGCTATTGCATTCCAGCCTGGGTAACAGAGTGAGACTCTGTCTCAAAAAAGAATACAGTCTAGACTGGATTTAAAAGGACTTATTTGAGGGACTTCTTATTTAAAAGGACTTTTACTTTATGGCTAGCCAAAAAAGCTAGTGAATGGCTATGATATGTTTATTTGTTTTCTTTCAGTCATTTTTTTAATGATTTCTAACAGATTAAAGGGACTGCTTATTTAAAAAGACTTTTACTTCATGGCTAGCCAAAAAAGCTAGTGAATGGCTATATTTTTAAAATTTAATTTGGTTTTCTTTCAGTCATTTTTTTCTTTTTTTCTTTTTTTAAGATAGGGTTTCACCATGATGGCCAGGATGGTCTTGAACTCCTGACCTCAGGTGATCCACCCACCTCGGCCTCCCAAAGTGCTAGGATTATAGGCATGAGCCACTGCGCCTGGCCTCAGTCATTTTTTAAAAGATATTTCTAACAGATTAAAAAAATGTTAGAATTTTCTAACAGATTAAAAAATGTTAGGATTTTTTTAAAGATAAGAACTGTTTCTAATACCTATGTTTTTTTTCTTTTTTTTTTTTTTTTTAAAAATAAAAAACCCCCTGTTTTTTAAAAAAAAAAAAAAAAAAAAAGTCAGAAAACCTGCTGGACATATTCTAAAGAAGCTATAACACATCTAATACAGTTTTAAAAATTAGTGACTAGGCTGGGTGCCAGAGCTCACGCCTGTAATCCCAGCACTTTGGAAGGCTGAGGTGGGCACATTACAAGGTCAAGAGATCGAGACCATCCTGGCCAAAATGGTAAAGTCCCATTTCTACTACAAATACAAAAATTAGCTGGGCATGGTGGTGCACGCCTGTAGTCCCATCCCAGCTAATCAGGAGACTGAGGCAGAAGAATCACTTGAACTCGGAAGGCAGAGGTTGCAGTGAGCTGAGATGGTGCCACTGCATTCCAGCCTGGCAACAAAGTGAGACTGTCTCAAAAACAAAAACAAAAAAATAGTGGATCAACAGTTATCTTTTTAGGGCTTTTAATCCGCAAATGATATAATTTAGTTGATAGTCACCTGAACTACTGGCCAAAGCCACATCATTGATTTTTAGCCAGTATTCCTGTAAAATACCACTTATTAAACAGTCTCTTCTTTACTCATGAAAACTTAAAAAGCCTGCAAGAGAGATAAATGGAACAGACGACTTGAGCTGTAACTCTAATGTTGTACCAGGCTGAATCAGAAGTGTCACATTATAGTACTAAATGATAATTAATTAATTATACCCCTACTTATTCCAGAAAGGATTTAAGCTTTTAAATATATGTTAACCAGATAGCATGAAATAAAAGTCAGACAGGCTGGGTGTGTGGCTCACGCTTGTAATCCCAGCACTTTGGGAGGCTAAGGCAGGCAGATCACCTGAGGTCAGGAGTTTGAGACCAGTCTGGCCAACGTAGTGAAACCCTGTCTCTACAAAAAATACAAAAAAATAGCTGGGTGTGGTGGTGGGCACTTGTAATCCCAGTTACTCAGGATGCTGAGACAGCAGAGTTGCTTGAGCCCAGGAGGTGGAGGCTGCAGTGAGCTGAGATCACACTGTTGTACTCCAGCCTGGCCAACAGAGCAAGACTTCATTTCAAAAAAAAAAAAAAAAAAAAAAAAAAGTAGACAAGAAGAGGCATGTGAGTAGTGAGTATTAAAATAAAAAGCAGCAACCTACCTTCCATAAAAAGGAATTCTTGCTTTGGTAGCATTCTGTTTTAGTTGGTCAAAAGCCCCTAGAAGATAAAGAGTTCATGAATCCTCAAACTTGAACATAAAAATTACAGAAAACAATTTTGAAATTTCAACACATTACCTGCTCTGAATGTGTCTGCACATATTAAACAGGTCTTCCAACCTTTCCTCTGGTAATAATATGCTAACTGGGTGAGAAAAGATTTAAAAATATAATATCATAAAATATAATAAACTATACATCTTCTGTTTATCCTTATTTACCTAAGGAGTAAAATAAAACTGCTTATAATTCTCCCGAAAATATTATTAAAAATTTTTGAATATGGCAAATCTCCTAAAAAGTTTATATTCTAATTATCACACAGTAGCATTCAAATATAAAATTATCAGCCAGGCACGGTGGCTCGAGCCTGTAATCCCAGCACTTTGGGAGGCCGAGGCAGGTGGATCACGAGGTCAAGAGATCGAGACCATCCTGGTCAACATGGTGAAACCTCGTCTCTACTAAAAATACAAAACATTAGCTGGGCGTGGTGGCGCGTGCCTGTAATCTCAGCTACTCAGGAGGCTGAGGCAGGAGAATTGCCTGAACCCAGGAGGTGGGGGTTGTGGTGAGCCGAGATCGTGCCATTGCACTCCAGCCTGGGTAACAAGAGCGAAACTCCGCTTCAAAAAAAATAAAAAAATAAAAAAAATAAAAATAAAATAAAATTATCAAGTAGCAAATAATGATAGTAAAAAATATTAACTACTATTAATGTTAATTAAAAACAACAAAATGATCTAAAAATCATTTTCTCATGTCCCCCCTCAAACTGTAACATAGATGAAGCTTGTGGAAAAATCCCGTAATATTGGTGAGACACCCAATTCAGGAGAGAGTAGTAGTAAACCAAATTAAAAATTAGCAAACGGCTGGGCACGGTGGTTCACACCTGTAATCCCAGCACTCTGGAAGGTCAGGGTGGATCATGAGGTCAGGAGACTGAGACCATCCTGGACAACATGGTGAAACCCCACCTCTACTAAAATACAAAAAATTAACCAGGCATGGTGGTGGGGGCACCTGTATTCCCAGCTACTGGGGAGACTGAGTCAGGGGACTTGCCTGAACCTGAGGTGGAGGTTGCAGTGAGCCAAGATCTTGCCACTGTACTCCAGCTTCTCAACAGAGAGAGACTCCATTCCCCCAAAAAAATAATTAGCATAAAGAGGTCAAGGCTACAGTGAGCCATATTCACATGCCACTGCACTACAGCTTGGGCAACAAAGCAAGACTCTGTCTAAAAAAAAAAAAATAGCATAAGGATATGCAAAATGAAGATCTATAGTATGCTGGGTGGGAACCTGAAAAAGGAATACTGAGCCATAGTGGATAAAGTAAACTTCATGTTCTCTTCTCCAAAAATCATATATTCACTTCCTGAAAGGATAGGAATTGTCTTTTTTTTTTTTTTTTAATAAAAGAAATAGCATAGTTATAGATGTCTACCTTCTTACAAAAATAAATGATAAGAAACTATGAGGATCTCTCTTCTTATCCTACAAAAAAACTACTTAAAAACATACATCAAGTAACACAAAGTTATAAAGCAACAATATTATAAAGCCTGGCTTTAATATAAAACTTGATTTATATAAACCTATCCTCCATGACTTCTTTTTAAATTAACTTTAATTTACCTTTGAACATGTTGTTGTTTTACCACTCCCTTGCAATCCAACAAACATGATCACATTTTGTTTTCCTTTAGTGGGTGTCCATGCTTTAACTCCAGGGTCTACAAGCTAAATAACAAAAACAAATTAAAAATAAAATCAGGTTAACATACATTTAAATTCAAAACCCCTCCCCTATAACTTTTTTCCTTTTTTGAGACAGGGGTGCAGTCTGTTATATAGGCTGGAGTACAGTGGCATAATCAGAGCTCACTGTAGCCTTGACCTCCTGGGCTCAAATGATGCTTGCACTTCAGCCTCCCAAGTAGCTGAGACTACAGGCACACATCACCATATCTAGCTAATTAAAAGAAAAATTTTTTTTTTTTTTTTTTGAGAGACAGAGTCTTGACATGTTGCCCAGGCTGGTCTCCAACTTCTCCAACTTCTGGGTTCAAGCAATCCTTCTGTCTCAGCCTCAAAGTGCTGGGATTTCAGACGTGAGCCACTGTGCCCTCCCACAACTTTTAAATTATGAAGATAATTTACGGACATTTTCATATAAAAGCTACCATAATGCTGCTATTCTAATACAACTATTCTCCTTTGTATATACAGGGTAAAATTTAAGAACATAAAATAATGCATTGTGAAGTCATAATCAAGCCTATATTCCAAACCAATTCAGAGGTAAAGATCTCACATTTTTTTAGAACAACCTAGAGTATAAAATAAAACGTGAAACCAAGTTTAAGCCAAAGGAGGAATCTACAGCAGCACAACAGAAATGTAACACAAAAATGTATATGAGGCCCACACATGAATTTTTAAATTTCCAGTAATGACATTTTAAAAAGTAAAAACAGGTGATACTAATTTTAACATTTGCCACAATATATCTAAAAATTATCATTTTTATACGTAATCTATATAAAAAAATTAATTGGCTATTTTACATTCCTTTTCCCATATCAAGTCTGAAAATCTGGTGTGTATATATAAAACACATCTCAGTTTGGACTAGCCACATTATAAATGCTCAATAGCCACATGTGGCTAGTGGATGCCATACTCAAGAGTGCTAATGTCCACGTTCAATTGGACAAATATTTACTTAACAAAATTACAGATTATATGTAAAAGATTTTCCGGGTCAAATTATAAATTCTCCAATGCCAAATATTGACTGTAAATTTATTATATTTAGAGGGCTAATAAAAAATAATCACTAACTTTAAAATGACAGCCAGTGGAAAACTGAGGTTCATATAGTGACAGGTCTCCAACTTAAAAGAGCACGGACATTTAAAAAATAATTCACTTGGGAGTCAGTTCTTAGAAGCTTGAAATGTATGATATAATAATAAATCCATAATAGTTAATGTCCTAGATCGGGGCTGGTAAACTATGTGCAAATAAAATTTCAATGGAGGCTGAGCTTGGTGGCTCATGCCTATAATCCTGGCCCTTTGTGGGGGCCAAAGGAGGAGGATCAACTGAGACCAGCTTGGGCAACATAGCAAGATCTTGTCTCTACAAAAATTTAATTAGCCAGATGTAGTGGCATGCACCTGTCATCCCAGCCAATCAGAGGCTGAGGCAGGAAGATTGCTTTAGCCTAGGAGTTTGAGACTGCAATGAGCTACGCAGGCCACTGTACTCTGGCCTGGGCAAGAGACTATAAAGTTATTACATTTCTAGTTACTACACTGAAAAAAGTTCCAATGTAATACAGCCATGCCCATTCATTTACTACTTTTTTTGTTCTTTTTTTTTTGAGACGGGGTCTCACTTTGTCACCCAGGCCAGAGTACAGTGGTACAAACACGGCTCACTGCAGTCTCGAACTCTTGGGCTCAAGTGATCCTATCATCTCAGCCTCCTGAGTAGCTGGAACTACAGGCGTGCGTCACGATGCCTGGCTAATTTTAATATTTGTTTGTGGAGGCGGGTTACTACTATGTTGCCCAGACTGGTTTTGAACGCTTGGTCTCAAGCAATCCTCCAGCCTTGGCCTCCTGAAGTGCTGGAATTACAGGTGTAAGCCATTGTGCCTAGACCCTTTACTGCTTTTGTGCCGCAACAGCAAAGCTGAGTAGTTGCAACAGAAATCACGTGGTTCACAAAAGTTAAACCTTTGAAAGTCTGCCAAGCCATCCTATACAATACCATAAAAATTACATAATCCGTATTATACCTGAATTTCAAGGAAAGCCATGAAGTAGTGAAGGAAGGAAAACACATTTTCTTATACTTTCCTAGGCATCGACCTACCCTTAGGCAAACTTCTGAAAGAGGCAAAATCTGTCTTAAATATAAATCCACTTCCCTTCCTCATAGATCCTTTCAGTACACTGATGCTGCTCCATATTCACCTCCATTTTCTACATGTCACGGCAAAATCTCCCAGCTCTCTATGGATCCATTATTTGGAACATGTATCTTTTACTAAATAATTATTTTATAAATTTATCTTCTCTTCTTCCCACCCTCAAGAACGGCAGTTTTCAACTTCTTGGTCTCAGGACTTCTTTATAATCATGTTAGTTTGTAAAGGTTAGTTGCAATGTAAAATCTAAAACCATATAAACTTTTATACTCTGTTACATTAAAATCCCTGATTCCATCTTGGATTTTAAATGAATCTTGTAACATCACACATTAGTTATTCACAAAACGCTGGTTCACTGAGTTATTCAGATCTCCCATCACTGATATATTTGATTATACATAATCAAAAAACTTTATTCATTAATATCAATACTGACACTCATCAGAAAAGTAAGTAGTGGAATACTGTCAAACTCAGAGGAGACAGATGATAGATATAAGTTCTTTTTTTTTTTTTTCAGATGGAGTTTTGCTCTTGTTGCCCAGGCTGGAGTGCAATGGCACGATCTCAGCTCACTGCAACCTCCACCTCCTGGGTTCAAGCAATTCTCCTGCTTCAGCCTCCCAAGTAGCTGGGACTACAGGCAAGTGCCACCATGCCCGGCTAATTTTTTGTACTCAGTAGAGACGGGGTTTCACAATGTTGATCAGGCCAGTCTCAAACTTCTGACCTCAGGTGATCCACCCACCTCAGCCTCCCAAAGTGCTGGGATTATAGGTGTGTGCCACTGTGCCCGTCGGCTTTTTTTTTTTTTTTTTTTTTTGGAGACAGGTTTTGTTCTGTTGCAGGGGCTGGAGTGCAGTGGCGCCATCTTTGTTCACTGCAACCTCCATCTCCCAGATTCAAGCGATTCTCCCACCTTACCCTCCCAAGTAACTGGGTTTACAGGTCTAAGCTGCCGTGACCAGCTAACTTTTATATTTTTTTGTAGTGATGGGGTTTCGCCATGTTGCTCAGGCTGGTCCTGAATTCCTGGGCTCAAGGAGTAGTAGTCCCAGCTACTCGGGTGGCTCAGATGTAGGGATCATCTGGGCTCAGGGAGGATGAGCGTATAGCAAGTCATGATCACACCACTGCATTCCAGCCTGGGTGACAGAGTAAAACCCTGTCTCAAAAAACAACAACAAATCATGATGGTGCATGCCTATAGTCTGAGCTTCTCTGGAAGCTGAGGAGAGGAGATCACTTGAGGCCAGGAATTTGAGGCTGCAGTGAGTTCTGACCACACCACTGCACTCTAGCCTGAATGACAGGGACTCTGTCTTCAGAAATAAGAATAAAGGTCGAGCGTGGTGGCTCACGCCTGTAATCACAGCACTTTGGGAGGCTGAGGCAGGTGGATCACCTGAGGTCGAGAGTTCGAGACCAACCTGACCAACAAGGAGAAACCCTGCCTCTACTAAAAATACAAAAATTGGCCAGGCGGGGTGGCACATGCCTGTAATCCCAGTTACTCAGGAGCGTGAGGCAGGAGAATTGCTTGAACCCGGGAGGCAGAGGTTGCAGTGAGCTGAGATTGTGCCATTGCACTCCAGCCTGGGAAACAAGAGTAGTGAGACTCTGTCTCAAAAATAATAATAATAATAATAATAAATAAATGAAGAGTCCAGTAACTGTTAGTATCATTTGGTGCCACTGCCTTGATTCATACTAGGGAGTTTTACCTACCATTGTTTTCAGTGCAAATATCAACATAGTAAAAAAGTCACAGTGTCTCAGTATGATTATGAAAATAATTTTTTTTTTTTTTTGTGGCAGAGTCTCCCTCTGTCACCCAGGCTGGAGTGCAATGGCACACTCTTGGCTCACGACAACTTCTGCCTCCCGGGTTCCAAGCGATTCTCCTGCCTCAGCCTCCCAAGTAACTGGGATTACAGGTGCGCCGCACCACGCCTGACTAATTTTTGTATCTTTGGTAGAGACAGGGTTTTCACCATGTTGGTCAGGCTGGTCTTGAACTACTGACCTAGTGATCCACCCACCTCGGCCTCCCAAAGTGCTGGGATTACAGATGTGAGCCACTGCACCCGGCCATGAAAATAATTTTGACCTTGCTTTGTACACCATTGCTCTAGACCATAAGCATCTGAGTATAAAGACCAGTCTTAATTATCTCTGCTGTCAGCACCATTTGGCATACTTTCTGGAATAAAGTAGGTACTCAATAAATGCTTCTTAATAAAGTACTTGATGCTCCAGAATTGCCTGTAGTTACCAGACCCTAACAACAAAAATTTCTGGCCAGGCATAATGGCTCACACCTGTAATCCTAACACTTTGGGGGACAGAGGCAGATGGATAACTTGAGCTCAGGAGATCAAGACCTGCTGGGGCAACGTAAGAAAACCTTGCCTCTACAAAAATTACAAAAACTAGCTGGGTGTGGTGGCATGTACCTGTAGTCCCAGCAACTTGGGAGGCTGAGGCAGGAGTATTGTTTTAGCCTGGGAGGCTGAGGCTGCAGTGAGCCATGACTGTTACCACTGCATTCCAGTCTGGGTAACAGAGTAAGACTGTCTCTTAAAAGAAACAAAAGGAAAAATTCCACTCACACTGTTCTGATCTCAGACACTAAGTGAAAGGCAATCAGAGTCTTACACAAGGAGTTTGGAGATCATACGTGGGTCTGCCACAAACTAGCTGTCTCAGTTTTCTCAACTGCAAACTGGTAAGTATGAACTGGATAAATTCTGACCTCTTTTAGGTCTGAATTTCTTTTTTATTAATTAGCCTAGTGGAGTAAACGAAAATGACATAATCATCTGAAACACTGAACTTTTTCAAAAGCCTGTCAGAGCAGTTGGTACCAAAACAGTAAATGGAAATATTCAGGCCGGGAGAGGTGGCTTATGCCTGTAATCCCAGCATTTTGGGAGGCCGAGGTGGGTGGATCACTTGAGATCAGGAGTTCGAGGCCAACCTGGCCAACATGTGAAACCTCATCTGAACTAAAATTAAAAAATTAAAAAAAAAAAAAAATTAAGCCGGGCGCGGTGGCTCAAGCCTGTAATCCCAGCACTTTGGGAGGCCGAGGCGGGTGGATCACGAGGTCAAGAGATCGAGACCATCCTGGTCAACACGGTGAAACCCCGTCTCTACTAAAAATACAAAAAATTAGCTGGGCATGGTGGCGCGTGCCTGTAATCCCAGCTACTCAGGAGGCTGAGGCAGGAGGATTGCCTGAACCCAGGATGTGGAGGTTGCGGTGAGCCGAGATCGCGCCATTGCACTCCAGCCTGGGTAACAAGAGCAAAACTCCGTCCCTAAAAAAAAAAAAGAAAAGAAAAAAAAAAAAAATTAGCCAGATGTGGTGGCAGACACCTGTAATCCCAACTACTAGGGAGGCTGAGGCAGGAGAACTGTTTGAACCTGGGAGGCAGGGGTTGCAGTAAGCAGAGATCATGCCACTACACTTCAGCCTGGGCAACAGAGAGAGACTCAAAAAAAAGAAAATATTCATACAACATGGAAAAAAAATTATTATAGAACTAGTAGGCATCTATTACTCCAAAAAAATTTTTTTGTTGTTGTTTTTCTTTGAGTCAGGGTCTCACCCTTTCCCCTAGTCTGGAGGGCAGTGGCACAATCACAGGGGTTTCACCATGTTAGCCAAGCTGATCTTCAATGCCTGACCTTGGGTGACTCAACCGCCTCAGCCTTCCAAAGTGCTGGGATTACAGGTGTGAGCCACCACACCTGGCCTGCATCATCTCTTTTTACCAACTTTTTTTTTTTTTTTTGTAGAGACTGGTTCTTGCTATTTTGCCAAGGTTGGTCTCAAACTTCTGACCTCAAGCAATCCTCCCACCTCTGCCTCCCAAAGCACTGGGATTACAGGCATGAGCCACTGTGCCTGAAGTAACTTTTTAACAGCTCCTTTCTTTTTTTCTTCTACAGTTGAGCCAATATATATTTTTTAAAGCTCTAAGATTTTCACAATAATTTGCATGATCAGCAATAAGGTAAGGCAGGGCAACCGGCTATATTCACTAATTCAAAATTGTTCATAATCTAGGCAAGAATTGGGATACTTGGTCTTTGCAAAGGGAATTCTGTACACAATGAATAGTGTAGAAAAGAATATTTGCTATATGTGACTTTGCCATATAAAAGCAGAGCCATCACTAGGCAAAACATGATAGTGAAAGAGGAAAATCTCAGAGAGGTCCTCCCATCAATCAATCTGTTGTCAAGTTTCACTCATGGTATCTTGGCTTTGGCATTTTTTGCAGGAACAGTACAAACCTTCATATCTGCAGTCAGAATTCTGTATTCAGTAAAGTCCATAATAAAAATAGGTCTCTAAGAAAACTTAACAATCTTTTACTTAACAATCTTTTCATTAATATTTTAATACAGATGAATATTCTATAAAAACATATTAAAAATGATTCTGAAATACTTGTAGTGCTAATATATTTTTATCCAGAGTATAGAATCACAGTACAATCTTCATATACTTTTACCTTCACAAGTTCTTTAAATACAGCATGCTGAATCATTTTTCTTTTGTTAAGACCAGATGCCATCTCTTCAAGATCAATAGCAGACCTTTATAATGGTGGTTGGTGATTGGGGTAGGGAAGAGAAAATCAATTAAGAAACTCTAAGAAAAAAAAGCTTCTGCTCCAAAGAATGTAAGGCTATTCAGTCATTCATATTAACAGTCTTCCAATTAACATGTATGTAATCACTACAGATTCATAAGTCTAGAACACAAAGAGTTTTAACCATGAAATATTGGATGCAAGACTTTGGTTTTCAAGGATTACACTTGAAATTACAAATATTAATTTGTCCTAATATCACCACAAATAACTAGTTTTATTTACTTTTCTTGCAGCTCATATATTTTACATATCTTTACAACAGAAATCAGAACTACTTTATTTCTAAATGCTTAAATACTGGTAGTCCCACAATTAATCTTGGTGGAACAATAAAAGGAGAGATGTCTAAAGCATGATAAGGGATAAGATTAAGCCGTTAACTGAGCTACCTGTATTGTTCTGTGTGTCCTGCCAACTCAGTGCCTCTCCCAATGAATAAAATAACTGAGACCACACACATTAATTCTTCATTCAAATATGAAACAGAGAAACCAAAAGAACAAAAGAGAATACAGTTCTCCAATAATGAAGGTTGATTAATATCATCTTAAGTCTAAAAAGAATAAAATGGCAGTACTTTTCTATGAAGAGCCTGAACGTTAGAAGGCTTTATATATTAAATCACTATATAGTATTTAATCGAATCCATCCAAATAAAAGACTAGAAAAATAGAAAAAAAAATGGTAACGAAATGAAAATCATATTAGTTTATTCTTTGAACCATCATTATGGAAACGTACTACACATGAACTTGTCCAACATATGAGCTCTAACCCAGCACTTTTGCAGTGCTGCAGAGCACAAATGATTCCTGATAAAGCAAACATTTCTAGTTAGTGCCTCTTTCCAATAAATTAAACTTAGCTATGCCTGTTTTTTACCTGATTAATTTAACTTACTTAACATTTTCTCTTAGTTGCTTCACTAGTTTAATATTAACATCTGCTTCCAACAAAGCGGTACAGACTTCTTTTAGCATAGCATTCAATACCTGAAAGTAAAGAAATAATTGAAATTTAAAGTACCCAATGTATCATTTCAGTTCCCTAAAAACAATAGTTGATCACTTATATAACCATAGCTTAATAAAATAACACTACACTACTGGGCTTTTCAGTTATTTCTGGAGAAATAATTTTATTAAATGTTTAGTCATTTTGTCAAAATAAGAAACCCCATTTAGTTTCATACACCCACGTATTAATCACCACAATTTTATTCCTATATAAAAGTAATTACAGGCCGTGCACAGTGGTTAACACCTGTAATCCCAGCACTTTGGGAAGCTGAGGTGGGCAGATGACTTGAGGCAAGGAGTTCAAGACCAGCCTGGTCAACATGGTGAAACCCCATCTCTACTAAAAATACAAAAATTCACTGGGTATAGTGGCATGTGCCTATAATCCCAGCTACTCAGGAGGCTGAGGCAGGAGAATCACTTGAACTCAGGAGGCAGAGGCTGCAGTAAGCCAAGATCATGCTACCACACTCCAGCCTGGGTGAGAGTGAGACTTTGTCTCAAAATAAAATAACACAACAAAAAATGTAATAATAAAGACAATATTCAAGCCAAAAAAAGTTACTACATAATAGATGTTGCCTTTGATGTTTTCTACATTATTGAAGAGCTCCTGTTGCTAATATGTAGTGGTATATAGTCACAATATTTGCTCTTCTTAACTGGACAACTATAGAGGTAAATGTGACAGAAGAAAGTTACCCAGTCTTGCCATTTTTACTTGGAGCAGAAAAATACTGTTGGAAAGGAGACTATCCTCCATTAATAACTTATTATTATCACATTTGTTGAATTGCAAGGCACTGTAGTTAAAAGGTCATAAAATAAAAAGTCTTAAGAAAAGAGGCTTTAGCCACTCATGCATATGAAGTGCTCACACACTAGAATGTAAGCTCTATGAGGGTAGGAATTTTAGTCTATTTTGTTCACCACTGTATCGCTGGTGCCAGCAAAACTGTTCGTAAAAACATAGGCCCTCAAATATTTATTCAATGAACCCTCTCCTTCAACTTACTTCGTAGGCTTATTAGTTTTCTTTATCCCTCATTAAACGGGTCTGATAAAACTGGAACTGATCTTTCACTAGAGGGCTTTCTCTTTGTTAATCAGTTAGCAGCACAGTATCAAGAACAGATAAGCTGAAAATTTAAGCAACAGATGTTACCCTACTTTCCACTAAGCACTCCTCCCCTGGTTTTCTTTCTACTACAAAGGCAGAGAGCATAAGGGCTACTACACAACAGGGAAAATGGTTTGGAAAGTTGATTTATTCTGAATTACAAGACCAAACAATGATTTGTGATTTATTGTTTAATAAGAATTATTAGAAAAAACCCTGGATGAGGAATTAGGAAAAAAAGATTCTAATCCTGGTTCTTCCAAATAAACAATCACATGAAACTGACTTTCTGTTTTTGTTAAACAAGAGGCTGAACTAAATGATCTCTAAGATGGTTTCAAATTATTTAACTATCGAGATCATATTCTGCGTTAGAATTTGTTTTCTAACCTCCAAGTTAGAAAGTTCATTTGATACTTAAAAACATTTTCTATGATAAATGCTATTTTCCTATTTTATACACTAAGCAATCTAAGGTTGAGATGCCCAAATTTACATCGCACAGCTACTAAATTGCTGCAGTGAGACGTGAGACTCTAACAAATGTTGTCTAACACCAAATTCAGTACATTTCCTTTTTTTTTTTTTTTTTTTTTTTAAGAGAAACATTGTGTTTAATGGTAAAGCTTAGCACACCCCAGCACCAGGAATGGTATGGAGTCACCGCAGCAGGGACAGGCAGGTGACCCCACAGAGCCTCACATGGCGAAGAGGATGAGGAAGGCGACCATCAAACAGAAGAGCCCCATGGCCTCAGACAGGGCAAAGCCCAGAATGGCGTAGGAGAAGAGCTGCTGCTTGAGAAATGGGTTCCTGGCATAGCCAATGACCAAGCTGCCAAACACCGTTCCGATGCCAGCCCCTGAACCAGCCACACCAACTGTGGCTGCCCCAGCACCAATAAACTTGGCTGCTGTGTCAATGTCCCAGGAGACAACACTGGTCTGGAACTCCCGTTGGGCCACCTGGAGTGGGGAGCTGCTGCAGGAAGGCTGTTTAGATGAATTCTCTGGGCTATTCAAGAAGGAGGCAGGCACAGGCCTGATTAGACCCCTGGCACAACAGCGGATCAGAGCCGGAGAAATGAGTAATGCCCCGGTGATCTGCATTTTTCAGTCTCCCAGCTTTAGCCCTAGGTCTCCCTTTTCCATTGTCAATACAAAATATAAAGTATACTTGTGAACCATAGACATCTTTTTCAATTAATAAACCATTAAGATACAACCTGTGGGGGACAAATGGGAGAAAGAAGTATCTTAAAACAATATAGCTAAGGAGCAGCTTACAAAATCTGCAAAAAACTGAAGATTTCAAAAAAAATGAATCAAAACAGACAAGATGCAAATGCTAACCTTTTATAAGAATGCTAAATAAAAGTCACAGAGAAAATGACAGATAATTGAATACCAGTAAGTTGGGAAAAATAAAAAACAAATGAATCAATAAATAAAAGGACAGATAAGCAGAGGCCTCGCCAAGAAGAAAGCAGCAGGATAATAAAATTTTAAGTCTATATCAATAAAAAAAACAAAAGTACAGTTCCAGATTTAAGCCACTTTCAAAGGATAAAACATGTTATTTTTCATTTAAGTTAAGGTCAGTTTTGTTTTGGATTTTTTTTGGGAAAATACAGAAAGTCAAAGCAAATTTGAAGTTGTAGTTAATTTCTCAATAAAACACTACTTACTGTATCCACTTTTTTTTTTTTTTTTTGAGACGGAGTTTCACTCATGTTACCCAGGCTGGAGTGCAATGGCACGATCTCGGCTCACCGCAACCTCCGCCTCCTGGGTTCAGGCAATTCTCCTGCCTCAGCCTCCTGAGTAGCTGGGATTACAGGCATGCACCACCATGCCCAGCTCCTTTTTTGTATTTTTAGTAGAGACGGGGTTTCACCAGGTTGACCAGGATGGTCTCGATCTCTTGACCTCGTGATCCACCCGCCTCGGCCTCCCAAAGTGCTGGGATTACAGGCTTGAGCCACCGCGCCCGGCCACTGTATCCACTTTTAAGTTTTTATCTACAGGTATTAAGTCTACATCAAAATAAATATAAATATAGGGAATATTAAAAATCCATCTTCCCAATGCTAGTGATCATACACAAGCATATATATTTCATATATTTTACATACCTCTTCATTAATAATGGTGGCATTGCTCAATGAGCGTAATGCTGATGTTATTTTTCTTCCAAGGTCTGCTAGAACCATCTTGACAGCTTTAAGATGTACCTACAAAGAACTCTAGAAAGGAAAAAAATTAAATGAAAATAATCAGTTTCAATTCCCATGACTAAAGAATTCTAAAGAGTATTTACGTTCAAATTACTCTAGCGTTTACATACTGTAATTTCACCTTCCATAGCCTCAACCTGTGCTTCAATAAAGTCATGCCATAAAGATAAAACTGCTACTTGGTTATGATGGCTTACATTCAAATACTTAATTGGAATCTTGTATATGAATCAGCAAATTTAACACGTCAAATAATATCCTTTGAGGAAATAATGACATAATCGCACATTAAGTAAGTTCTTTTTTTGGCATAAAACTTTGGAATAACTGAATTTTGTATCATGCACATTTTTAAATTAAAAGAGGAAAAATGGTGAAATCTCCAGGAATATTGCCTAATTTTCCACATTAAAGGACTCTGCAAACTATTTTGATTATTGCTCCTAAGCAAAAACAAAAAAGGAAAAAAAAGGTTTTAATTAATAACTTTTCTAATACAAAAAAAGCAATTGTTGAGCTATTAGCTATATTATGGCACTGCACTAAGTGATTCCACGTACATGATTTCATTTTATTCTTCTAACCATCAAGGAAAGAGGTATATTATTTTACTCTTCTATCTTTTTTTTTTTTGATACACGGTCTCACTCTGTTATCCAGGCTTCAGTGCAGTAGCGTGATCACAGCTGACTGCAGCTTCAACTTCCTGGGCACAGGCAATCCTCCTGCCTTAGCCTCCCAAGTAGCTGGGACCACAGGTGCATGCTACCATGCCCAGCTAATTTTTTTTAATTATTTCAAGAGACGGAGTCTCACTATATTACGGTGCCAAGGCTGGTACTCTTCCCATTTTAAAGCTGTTTCTGATTCCAGGAAAACTCTAAAATAAGATAACGATTTAAGTTATCATTTATTATTAATAATAATTATTTGAAAAAGCCCTGGATGAGGAATCGAAAAAAAATTCTAATCCTGGTTCTTCCAAAAAATAGTCACATGCAACAGACTTTCTGTTTCAGTTAAATAAGAGGCTGAACTAGTCAAAAACCCTTTCCAGCTCTAAAATGTTACTGTTTTATAAAGTATTATATATTAGATCTACTTACTACTTGTAAAAATTCAAGCGCTTACGAATGATAAGCAAATATGATTTGTATCCCCTGCCCTCAAGATGCTTATCTACTAGCTAGTAGGACAAGGCATACAAATGAACACTAAAATAAATACTAAGACAGAATTCCTCCTGTCTGATGGCTTACTAACAGGGACATCAGCTTTTCCTGCCTTCAAACTGAAACACTGGTTCTTCGTGGGTCTCAAGCCTTTAGCTTAAAACACCAATGGCTCTCTGAGTTCTTAGGCCTTCAGATTCAGACTGGATCTACACCATGTGCTCTCCTGGGTCTCCAGGTTACCAACTCATCCTTCAGATCTTGAGACTTAGTCTCCATAATGGTCTGAGCCAATTCCTTATAATAAATATCTATCTTTCTTTCTCTCTCTCTCTCTCTGCATACACACATATATCCACCATCTGAGATTCTGCTTTTCTGGAACAAGAGACGAAAAAAAAAAGAAAGAAAGAAACAGGAAGAAAAAAGCCAGGCACAGTGGCTCATGCCTGTAATCCCAGCACTTTAGGAGACCAAGGAAGGAGAATCACTTGTGCTCACAAGTTGGAAACCAGCCTGGGCAACATAGCAGAACCTCATCTCTTAAGAAAAAAAAAAAAAAGTAGCCAGGCATGGTGGCACATTCCTGTAGTCCCAGCTACTCGGGAAGCTGAGGGGGGTACTGCTTGAGCCAAGGAAGTCATGATCACTCCACTGTACTCCAGCATGGGTGACAAAAAAGGAAAGAAAAAGCATTTTAGACTAAGGCAGAGTGGTACGGGCTTTATTGGAAAGACTAAGTATGAATTTGGTCCTGAAATAAGAGTAGAATTTGGATAACTGGAGAAGACAAAATTCCATTTATGAAATGGAATTAGCAGAAATGGAGAGAGAGTTAAGTCATCTGGGACATACTTATGCCTTATATATGCACTGTACTTATAAATCACTGGGCATTATTTAAGGAACAGGAAATAAAACATTCTGGTCAGGACAGAGGGCTATACAGTTAGAGGGAAAGAGAGCTTTCAAAGGGCTCTAAAAACAAGGTCTAGGGAATATCAATTTTCCAATATAAACAATATTGGCAGAAAAGCTAACTGTTCAAAACAACTGTTTTCGCCAGGTGTGGTGGCTCATGCCTGCAATCCCAGTACTTCGGGAGGCTGAGGCGGGTAGATCACAAGGGTCAAGAGATCAAGACCATCCCGGCCAACATGGAAAAACTCTGCCGCTACTAAAAATACAAAAATTAGCCAGGCGTGGTGACGGGCACCTTAGTCCCAGCTACTCGGGAGGCTGAGGAAGGAGAATCGCTTGTACCTGGGAGGTGGAAGCTGGAGTGAGCCGAGATCATGTCACTACACTCCAACCTGGGCAATAGAGCGAGACTCCAGCTCAGAAAAAAACAAAACACAAAAAAATCAGCTGTTTTGGTAACCCTTCCAAGCTAAGCTAGTCTAACTTAGTCAACCAAGATTATCCAGATTAGATCCCTTCTACAGAATACACAGGAGATTAAAAATAAGAGAAAACAGGGCTGGGGTGGTGGCTCACGCCTGTAATCCCAGCACTTTGGGAGGCTGAGGTGGCATTTAAGACCAGCCTGGTGAACATGGCAAAACCCTGTCTCTACTAAAAAAACAAACAAAAATTAGCTGGGCATGGTGCCAGGCACCCATAATTCCAGCTACTAGGGAGGCTGAGACAGGAGAATCAACTGAACCTGGGAGGTGGAGGTTGCAGTGAGCCAAGATCGCGCCACTGCAATCCAGCCTGGGCAACAAGAGGGAAAGTCGGTATCTAAATAAATAAATAAGACAAACAGGAAGATGAAATAGCTGACTCATTCACCATAGAGAAAGTAGAAGGTGAATCAAAAACAGGCAGAAAGGGAAAATGCATTCAAGGACCTACCACTGGTAAACAGATATCCCAGGCTGAGCTATAAATCAAACACTACACTTTCACTCAAGTACAATTTTGTAATTTAGAACTTTGAAAAAAAAACTTACTACCAATAATTGATGAAATTGAAAAAGAAATTGCTTACCATAAAAGATTTTCTTACAATTACATTGTTACGTATCCTGAGAGCCAACTACTTCATGGAAAAGATCCAGGACTTTTTATTTCTTATCCCATACCTATTATACAAAACAACTATTGATCCTTAAGTTATTATTCTTCATTTAAGAAATAAGATTCAGATATTTCAGTTCATCTCCTTTACTATGGTGGTACTAGGAGTGACATAATCCTACTTTTATGACACCACAATTAACTTTTTTAGAGATCATATCATAAACAAATCATCCTTCATTTCAAAAAGCTATACTAGGCCAGGCATTGTGGCTTATACCTGCAATCCCAGAACTTTAGGAGGTTGAGGCAGGCAGATCACTTGAGGTCAGGAGTTCAAGACCAGCCTGGCCAACATGGTGAAACTCCATCTCTACTAAAAATACAAAAATTAGCAGAGTGTGGTGGTGCATGCCTGTAGTCCCAGCTACTCAGGCAGCTGAGGCAGGAGAAATCGCTTGAACCCAAGAGGCATAGGTTGCAGTGAGCTGAGATCACGTCACTGTACTCCAGCCTGGGCAACAGAGTGAGACTCCGTCTTCAAATAAATAAATAAATAACAGAGTGAGACTCCGTCTTCAAATAAATAAATAAATAAATAAGCAAGCAAGCAAGCAAGCTATACTAGTTAACTTTTTCACAGCAAACTCTAGGAAGCGTACTTTTACTTTTTAAATTATTTTAGATTCAGAGGGTATGTGTGTGTTTGTTACATCGGTATACTGTGTAATGGTGGGGATTGGACGTAAAGTGTACACATCACTCAAATACTGAACATTGAACCCAAAAGGTAATTTTTCAATCCTCAGTCTCCTCCCAATCTTCCCCATTTTGGAGTAGTCTGTTATTTTCATCTTTATATCCATGTGTACCACTGTTTAGTTCCCACTTACAAGTGAGAATGAGATATTTGATTTTCTGTTTCTGAATTAGTTCACTGAGGATAGTTCACTGAGGATAATGGCTTCCAGCTCCATCCGTGTTGCTGCAAAAGACATGATTTCATTCTTTTCATGGCTGCCTAGTTAGTTGTTTTTTAAATTTTTTTTTTTTTAAAGCTAGTCAAATTTAGCAGTTGGGGGTTGTATACCAACTTAAGTGACATTAATGTGTGGTTTTTATTTTTTTTTTTTTATTTTTTTTTAATTTTCGCTTTTTTTTTTTTTTTTTTTTTTTGAGACGGAGTTTCGCTCTTGTTACCCAGGCTGGAGTGCAATGGCGCGATCTCGGCTCACCGCAACCTCCGCCTCCTGGGTTCAGGCAATTCTCCTGCCTCAGCCTCCTGAGTAGCTGGGATTACAGGCACGCGCCACCAGGCCCAGCTGATTTTTTGTAGTTTTTTAGTAGAGACGGGGTTTCACCGTGTTGACCAGGATGGTCTCGATCTCTTGACCTCGTGATCCACCCGCCTCGGCCTCCCAAAGTGCTGGGATTACAGGCGTGAGCCACCGCGCCCGGCTTTTTTTTTTGTTTGTTTTTAAGATGGGGTTTCACTGTGTTGGTCAGGCTGGTCTTGAACTTCCGACCTCAGGTGATCCGCCTGCCTTGGCCTCCAAAGTGCTTGGATTACAAGCGTGAGCCACCACGCCCCACCAACATTAATGTTAATAAGTTCTGATAACCCACTACCATCGGACCAGCCTAATTCTTAAATATAAATCTAACTTTCCATTTAAACTGGTTGTTTTAAATTCAAAAATTTTTTAAACTTCTGTGAGGTTTTCCAATATACTTTTCCTTTTGTAAGTTCTTACTGGCAGCGTATTTTAAAACATTTTTGCCTTAAATTAAAAAAATATTTTATTATATACTACATGAATACATATATTTTTAATATATAAAATAAAATCTGGCCAGGCCCAGTGGCTCACACCCATAATCCCAGCACTTTGGGAGGCCAAGGCAAGGCAGGTGGATCACCTGAGGTCAGGAGTTCGAGACCAGGCTGGCCAACGTGGTGAAATCCCATCTCTACTAAAAATACAAAAATTAGCCAGTGTGGTGGCGTGTGCCTGTAATTCCAGCTTTCAGGAGGCTGAGGCAGGAGAATCGCTTGAACCAGGAGGTCGGAGGTTGCAGTGAGCCATTGCAACCAGACTGAGGGACAAGAGAGAAACTCACTCCAGACTGAGGGACAAGAGAGAAACTCTGTCTCAAAAATAAATAAATAAATAAATAAAACAAAATTCTGCATTTCAGTAGAGGAGTAAGAACTCTAATAATACCTTTTACTTAGTGTTTCCTCTACAATGTCCAAGAACGATGTGTTCCTGAAAACTTCTTGTTAGAATTTTGCTAAAAATCTCAATGACTTCATTGCATACAGACGTAAAGTCCTCATAATGGACCCTGTAAGGCCCCCTCAAAACACAAGCACACAAGAATGATTTTAATCATACTGACCTCCTTGCTATTGCTGCTACACATTTCTACCTCAGCACGTCAGTACTAGATGGCATGCTCTTCCTCTGCTTGACAAGGTAACTCCCTCTCTCATTTCCTTCAGATCTGTCCAGATCCTATTTCTCAGTGAGGTCTTCCCTAATCACCTAGTAACTGCGACTCCCTCCCCTTTATTCTTTTCCTATTGTTCTATTATCAACTGACATATGGTTTATTTATATTATTTGGCATTTATAATCTCACTGTTGAAATGTAAGCTGTGGCCGGCACGGTGGCTCATGCCTGTAATCCCAGCACCTTGGGAGGCGAAGGCAGGGGGACTGCCTGAGATAAGGAGTTCGAGACCAGCCTGCCCAACACGGCAAAACCCTGTCTGTACTAAACATACAAACATTAGCCAGGTGTGGTGGCAGATGTCTGTGATCCCAGCTACTTAGAAGGCTGAGGCATAAGAATGGCTTGAACCCAGGAGGTGGAAGTTGCAGTGAGCTGAGACTGTGCCATTGCACTCCAGCCTGGGTGAAGGAGCAAAACCCCACCTCGGGGGAAAAAAAAAAAAAAAAAAAAAAGAAATGTAAGTTGCATGAGGGCAGGGATTTTTGCCTCTTTTGCTCTCTCTTGTGAGCTCATTGTTTTATCTATCCTCAGCCTTATAAAGTAAATCCTTGCTCCATAATGAACTAAATTTACTTTTCTCAAAAATGAACATAATGAGTGAATGGAATGATATATTTAAGACCTTCGGGGAAAAGTGAGACCAGAGAACCAAAGTCATGAAAGGCATTGCAAATATCTGTTAAAAGCCACTAAAATAAATCAATAGAAATAATACAATGAATCAAAAGAAAATCAATAACTTGGGTAATTTATACTGTACATTAAATATATCTATTTGTCATTACTTATAACTCTTCTTCAGAATTTCCCTGCCATGCATTTCCAACAAGATACTTAAAAATTAACCTCACCATGTTCTAATATGTATGCTAAAGTGGAAAACACCTTTTGTATTGTGTTAATAGCTAAGCCTACATCTCAGATTGGAGGAATCTACAATTCAGGTACACTCTCAAGATTCTCTTGACTAACTAAAAAGATTTACAGACATAAATCTGTATATGGTAGAACTTCACACAAGAATCTCAGATGGGGCTTTTAGAAAGGTGATTACCACTTAGTACTTCTACAGTCGAACATCTATTATCTCACTCCACTCTCACGATGATTTTATGACATAAGTAGGGTAGAAATTAGAACAGACATTCTCTGCCAAAAAAAAAAAAAAAAAGTAAAATGACTTTCCACAGTCCTTTGGCTACACAGCCTTAAGTCCTAGAGTATGAATGATGCTTTAAATTACAGGGTTGAATACACCCACTGGAAACTGCAGGGACAAATTTTGCTGCTATGCCCTAATAGGAGAAATCATATTTTAATCATATTTAAAGATGTACATGTCTCTTTGTGGAGGAGTGATTGCAGTGTTCAGAAAGAACTGGTATGTATCACTGCAATCAGAACAGTACATACAAGGACTGACCCTGGCTTGAGTCACAGAGTCTTCTAACTGGGGTCTGACTAGGATTTGGATAGTGAGCAATGGAAACAGGCTGAAGTTTGGGGTGCCCTAAGTAAGGCAAGCACAGGGCCAAGTATCACACTTACCTGCTGCAGTGTGAAGTACTGGAAAGAGGATAGATTTTGGAGTCTGAGAGACTTGGATTCAAATCCTAGCTCTGTTAAATACTGGCTGTGTTACTTTGAGCAAGTTACTTAATCTCTCTGAGCCTTACTTTCCTCACCTGCAAAGTGGAGATAATACCATTACCAAAGTAGTTACCCTGAAGGGCTACTGTGAGGATTAAATGAGATAATATGTATAAAGCTGTCTTCGAAAATCTAGCAATATTAACTGCTAACTTCCTTCCTATTTTTAGTGATACCAACTATCTCTTTCTGTATTATCTTGAGTGTAAATAAGCTGGAAATTTTCTAAACAATCTTACTAAAGTATCTGTCCATCATCCAGGAATCACTCCTGGAATCTTTAAAATTTGGTGCCAATTACAAGTGCCAGATTATTATTCAACAGAAGCTGCAGTCTCCAAAAAGCCATCTCTGTCTACGTAATTATAAATATTCCTATCACATTTGTCTGATCTGAGATTATATAGAGTCTAATGATTAGATACGTCAAATTCTATTACAACAAAACCCCTACAAAAACAGTTCTTTCTTCTAAGTGCTTGTTAATGACTTTTTGAATTAATATTAGCCTCAAGAACTAAATATACTTACAAAAATTACTTCTACATAGTACAGTCAGCCTTCTGTATCTGGGGCTTCAAAACCATGGATTCAACCAACCACAAATCAAAAACATTCAGAAAAAAAAATTCTGTCTGCAGTGAAGAACATGTACAGACTTTTCTTGTCATTATTCCCTAAAGAATACAGTATAACAAGTATTTACTTAGGAATATAAATATGGTATAACAACTATTTACATTTTGTATTATGTATTATAAATAATCTACAGATACTTTAAAGTATAAGGGAGGATGTGCATAGGTTATATGCAAATACTATGCTATTTTACAGCAGGGACTTGAGCATCCTCTGATTTTGGTATCCATGAGAGGTCCTGGAATCAATTCCCCCACCAGATACCAAAGGACATTGTATACTTTTCTTTTCCTTTTTTTTTTTGGAGACAGAGTCTCAGCTCACTGCAACCTCTGCCTCCAGGGTTCAAGCAATTCTCCTGCCTCAGCCTCCCGAGTAGCTAGGACTACAGGCGCATGGCGCCATTTTAGTAGACAGGGTTTCACTATGTTGGCCAGGATGGTCTCAATCTCCTGACCTCGTGATCCGCCTGCCTCGGCCTCCCAAAGTGTTGGGATTACAGGCATTAGCCACTGCGCTCGGCCAGGACACTATATATTTTTCTATAATCAAAAGCTAATAAACATTATTTGCTTTTCTGGTTTTAATACTAAATATTTTTCTTAATTTTGCACAGCATATGTGTTCATGGTCTAGGACCACAGAAGAGTAACGAAATGGCCTATAGGTACTGTATTTAGTAAAATATATCTTAATGACTAACTTTATAATGTTAATTATGACTTTCAAATTTAGGAATTGTTTTTCATACTGAATCTACTTATTATCCAAGGAACCAATTCGCCTTTATGTTCTATGATTACAAAATGATATACGTTCATTGTAAAAGTTAAAACATTACAGAAATATTTAAGGTAGAAAATATAATTCCCCTAATTCTACCTGCTCTCCTGCCATAGTAACAACCAACAAAAATTAAACATATAGTCCCATGGATTGTATTTTCTAGGTGTATTAATTTAAGCAAGGTTTCCCGAGAATTATTATTTGGGGGAAGTAAGAAAGAGAACAAAACTTAGGGAAATTCTTTTGTAAAATATGCTTGCTAATGCTAAAAACACGCTTAAATGCAAAAGGCAGACTACAAAACTGCATATGCGGTATAATCCGTCTTTTGTTAAACAGAGTCTAAAAACAAGTATTAAAAAATATTAGCCATCGGCCAGGTGCAGTGGCTCACGCCTTTAATCCCAGCACTTTGGGAGGCCAAGGTGGACGGATTATGACGTCAAAAAATCGAGACCATCCTGGCCAACATGGTGAAACCCTGTCTCTACTACAAAAAAAAAAAAAATTATCTGGGCATGGTGGCGCATGCCTGTAGTCCCAGCTACTCGGAAGGCTGAGGCAGGAGAATTGCTTGAACCCAGGAGGCAGAGATTGCAGTGAGCTGAGATTGTGCCACTGCACTCCAGCCTGGTGCCTGGCGACAAATCAAGACTCTGTCTCGAAAAAAGAAAAAAAAAAGGAATATTAGCCATCAAGGAATTATAAATCAAAATCTTAATGAGATATCATCCAAACAAATACTTATACATGAATAGTCATAGCAGCATTATTCATAATAGCCAAAAGTATAAGCAATCCAAATATCCTTCAACTTATAAATGGATAAGTAAAATGTGGAATAAAATACAATGGGGTATCAGTAGGCAATAAAATCCTTTAAAATTGTATACTGTAGGTGAACTGTATAAGAATTATATATACATACATATACACATATATATATATATATATATTTTTTTTTTTTTTGAGACAGAGTCTCCTTCTGTCACCCAAGCTGGAGTGCAGTGGCACCGTCTCAGTGCACTGCAACCTTCACCTCCTAGGTTCAAGTGATTCTCCTCCCTCAGCCTCCCGAGAAGCTGGGACTACAGGTGCTTGCCACCATGCCCGGCTAAGTTTTTGTATTTTTAGTAGAGATGAGGTTTCACCATGTTAGCCAGGATGGTCTTGACCTCCTGACCTTGTGTGATCTGCCCACCTTGGCCTTCTAAAGTGCTGGGATTACAGGTGTGAACCACAGCTCCAGGCCAAGAATTATATTTTAATGAACTGTTAAAATAACATTTGTCATATCTGGATGGTGAATAACTAGCAATTTTTGTTTTCTTACTTTTTTTCAGTAATGACTGAGAGTATTATTTTTTAAGTCAAGGGAAAATTATTTTCCAAAGTGCTCCTTTTGAGCATTAGAGTGCAACTAGTCAACAGACTAGAGGCTGGGATGGAGTTGCCACCTGCATTCATTTACTCATTCATTAAACACCTACTTTGTAATCCAGAAGTTGTCCCAGCATGAGAGAAGTTCTAACACCTAATCAAATACAACGGTTTAACACAAGACTCCCTTCAAAACATAAATTATGCATCATACCACCTCTGCTTTAATTTAGAACCAAAGGTTATAATCAATTATATCAAGAAGTATCAAGCAATTTTCTCTTCATTCAAGTAATTGTTTTTCAAATTTTTAAACTCATTTTGATATTTAAAATAATAACACAGCACCAATTCAGAGTTTAGCAGCAAAAAAGTTATGCCAAAAAAAAAAAATCAATTAGCAATCAATTAGTCATAACTCAAAAACACTGGGGATCATTTCTTTATGATACTTTTTGGCTATGAAGTCAACCATAAAAAAGAATCTTTACATAAAATGCTACCAAGAGGAAAATTAAAATGAAAATTTTAAAAAATTCATTGGAAATGGTTGGCCTTAAAGTTGAAAAGAAAAAGGAAGACTGAAAAAAAAAAAAAAAGGAAAAGAAGGGATAAGAGGCATATGCTCAAGCAATGGGTTATCTCAATGACATTTAGATAATGCTTATCAGCTAAAAATTAAATGCTCAATCAGAATCTCCAAAGATAGTAAGGTAAAAACATTTTAGGGGGACTAGCCTCATCTACATTCTCAATCTGGAGAGCAAAACAAGGCATTTATGATTTGAAAACTTTCACTAGCTATATTGATATGCAGCTAGGGTTCATAATCACTACATTAAATATTTAATAACATGCCCCAAAGAAAACCAGAGAATAAGAAATCTGTTCTCAACCTTAAAAACATCTTCAGAGACAGTGCAACACCTTAGAGGGAAAAAACTGAACAGCCAGGACACTACATGCACTAGCCATACTCCATAAGGCTAGTTGAGACAAGATGTGGGCTTGAAGTAGAGAAACAGAAGACGAAACCAGGGTTAAGGGCTAGGTCATGAGGCAGAATCTAATGACCAAATGGTTATGGTGACTGAAGGAAAAAAAAAAGGCAAAAATGATTACAGTATCTCTAGTTTTTATAACCAGGTGGCTAGTGATGCCATTAACCAATGAATGGAAGGCAAAAAGAGAAGGTGGTTTCAACGTCAGAAAAAGGAGTTAATAGAGAAAAGATCAAAGGGACCTAAATTATTTTTAATGTTTTACTTTTTATGATGGAAGTGTACACAGATATTCATGTTCATTTTATTATCCCTCCCAACTAGCTGGGACTACAGGCAGCACGACTATGCCCAGATAATTTTTGTATTTTCTGTAGAGACAGGGGGGTTTCACCATGTTACCCAGGCTGGTCTTGAACTCCTGAGCTAAAGCAATCTGCCAGCTTCACCCTCCAAAGTACTGGAATGAGCCACTGCTCACAGCCCTTATTATCCTTTCTAAAATTTAACCTACATATATCACAAATTTCAAGTCACAAGAGGTCAAAACTAAAAAATGCACTGAGAATCACTGCTTTTATATACTTTTGTACGCATGACATACGTCGCAATAAAAAAAAAAAAGGAAGGTGAAGACAGCACATTTGGTTTTGGACCTACTGAGTTTGCAGGTTTTAGGGGGAAGTACAGAACTATTCTTCACAAGAGGGAGGCTAAAGAATAAAGTCTAGGCTGGGCATGGTAGCTCATGCCTGTAATCTCAACGCTTTGGGAGGCTGAAGCAGGCAGATCACTTGAGGTCAGGAGCTCAAGACCAACCTGGCCAATACGGTAAAATCTTCGTCTCTACTAAAAATACAAAAAATTAGCTGGGCATGGTGGCAGACATCTGTAAACCCTGCTACATGGGAGGCTGAGACAGGAGAATCACTTGAACCTGGCAGGCAGAGGCTGCAGTGATCCGAGATGGCCCCACTGCACTTGAGTCTGAGCGACAGAGTGAACAAGGTTTGGAAAAGAATAAGGCTTGGAAACGAAAAGAATAGGTTTGTATATGGTTGGCATATAAGGACAATGCCATGGAAGCCATGGATGTAAGTGAGAAGACTTAAGGAGAGTCTGTGGAAGGCCATTTGGGTTACAGCAATGACTAAGGGCCAACTAAAAGGAGAATGTTAACTAAGACTGAAAATAACCAAAGGTTTTACTAATTCCCTTTCCCTTTCTCCAGGGTACACAGAAGAAAATCAGTTTTTAAAAGGCTATATTTATGGTTATCTTGCTGTAATCCTGTGGCCGGTCCAGGATTTCCAAATAGATGGGATTAAAGGGAGTAATCTGGAAGGAAGGCTTGAAGATGCTTTTGCATAGTACTCTATACGAAGGTAGAAAACACCAACTGGCCATATCAAAAAACTGAGGGAGACGGATTTGAGGGAAACTTTGGCACCACCATTGCTATGTTCTAGACACTAAATCAAAACAAATCTCTTACCTAATCTCCTTTCTTCCTCATAACAAGCCAATTAGGTAGATGAGAGTATTGAGGCTAGATTGGAATAGCAACTGGCTCAGGGTCACAAATCACCTAAGGAGCTCTTTGGCTGTCCCAAAGCTTTCTACGCTTCTTTATATGCAACCAGTTCCTACAGCTCTTTACATGTAACTAGTGTTTCTCATTACACATCTTGATATAATGTATATTTACGTGCATTAGCTGCTCAATGGCGGAGTTAATGTCATTCATTTCTGTATCCCTGTAGCCAAAAACAAGTATATATTTTGTTGAAGTAAGCATGTAAAGGAATCAGGTGAGGATGGCATGAAGAAAGCCACGAGGGGAAAGTTTCAAGAAATGGATGGTCAGCAGCGTCAATCGGTACGGAGAGAGCCATCAAGTCTATCTTAAATCACCATTGGCATTGAACTGATACTCGTATTCATTTACTGAACGTCTACTACACGCAGGACGTCGTGTTAAGCACTACAAACACATAGGAAAATGAAGTCTGGTACAAGTAAAAAGATTTTCGGGGAAGTAGCCTCATCTAAATTCTTGCTCAGGAAAGCAAAACGAAGACTCAGGCCTGCAATTGCCTACATCTATTTGGCTCAGGTAAATCTGAAGACAACTTAAAAAGGTCACAGCGAATTTTTTAATAAAACTTCTCATGGAAGACAAGAGATAAAGAAGGGCCACAAGAGATAAAGCAGCACCTCAGTCTCGGTAACTACGGCCGGTGGCGAGGGAGGCCGACTTCCCCCGGAATCTCTCGCCCCCTGACAGCAGGGCTGGGGCTGCCCCTAGCTGCCCCTCAATAGTCTGAGGCTGGAAAAAGCAGACACTTACCGCAAAAGACACCGCTAACGCCGTGGCCCTAAGGGGCCAGGAATTCCTTAGCGAGGCCCCACACCGTGGGAAGAAACCAAAGAAAGCCGGGAGCAGACAGACAGGTACCACCCCACAACCCAATTTCCCGAACTAGATAAACTAGGGTCCCAACGCCCAGCGCCGCGTCGCCAACTCCCACCAGCTGGAAGACCGACGAGTGCCACCGAACCTTCCGCCCAATGGGGAAACGTCACCATTCCGCATAGTCCAGCCTCTCTAGAGGAGGATCTACTTCCGCTTCCGGGACACACTGCTGCGTTTCTCCTGCGCGTCTACCGAAACAATTTAGATGTTTGCTTCCGCTGGTTTTGGTTTCAGTTTCCTACCGCTGAATAACTGAGGTAGAAAAGTTAGTGGTAAAATAGGATGCTGTCTAGGGACGTGATTTCGGGGAAGAAGTCAGGCTTCGACGAGGCTCTTTAAGAAAAGTTAGTAGGCGGAACACTCCCAGCTAAGAGCGGCAAGATGAAAGATGGAGGTGTGATTGAAGGAAGGGATCCCCGGGCGCACGTGAGACCTCCGTGGGAGGGCGGGGCTCAGGGCTTCGCAGACTAGAGGCGTGTTCCGCGGAGGGTGGGGCGATGTCTGCCGGCGCTTGCGCAATGCCAATCAGTGTCTGCGCAGCTTGTTCCTGCAGCGTAAAATTTCCTACTGTAAAGCCTTGGTCGTGATGCTGCGGCCGCTTCGCGCTGTGGCCCTGGCCGACCGCCAGGCGCTGCTACAGTGGATGCGAACTATCCTTAAGTGTAAGAGACCAGAGCCTGAGGCAGGCGCTGACTTTGGAGACTTAGGCAAGGTGAAGTCAAAAGTCTTCCTTGGGGTCACTGTGCTGGTCTCTGCTATCCTGTGATGTAGATTGACCAGGGCTCAGAGTGCTCTAACGGAAAGGCGGGTTAATTGTACGCCGCACTTAGAGACCAATTAAGAGCGAGTCCTGGTACAAGAAGAGGGATTTTATTTCCGAAGCCAGCGTGGGGGAAGTGGCACAAATGTTTTTCGCCTTTGGAGCGAAAAAGCGGGCATTTTATAAGGTAGAGGAGGAAATGAACAAGAGCAGGGGTCTCTGCTAGTTGATGCCTTATCTACCGGCAATTGAGTTGGCGCCTTCCCGAGCAGAAGTAAGTTGTAAAAGTGAGCACGTAGATGAATTTGCTCTGTAGAGAATGGTCTGGTGAGGGGGAGAGACAAGAGGTTATTTTGCATTTCAAAAAGGGCTAAGTGGGAAGTGTAGTGGGGAGGGGAAAACAGGAAAAAATAAACTATCTTTTGGAAAATGGGGGTAATCAGATACAGGACCACTTGGAATTAATCGGATGCGGGAAGACCTGGTTCTGAGTAGTTTGTGATTTTGCAGCAGACTTTGGACAAGCCTTTAGAGCTCCTTGTGCCTAACCCTTTTTCTAAAAGAAAATAGAGGGTTAAAGCCGGGCGCGGTGGCTCAAGCCTGTAATCCCAGCACTTTGGGAGGCCGAGGCGGGTGGATCACGAGGTCAAGAGATCGAGACCATCCTGGTCAACATGGTGAAACCCCGTCTCTACTAAAAATACAAAAAATTAGCTGGGCATGGTGGCACGTGCCTGTAATCCCAGCTACTCAGGAGGCTGAGGCAGGAGAATTGCCTGAACCCGGGAGGCGGAGGTTGCGGTGAGCCTAGATCTCGCCATTGCACTCCAGCCTGGGTAACAAGAGCGAAACTCCGTCTCAAAAAAAAAAAAAAAAAAAAGAAAATAGAGGGTTAGCCCTCCTCCCCATTACCCGCACAAACTTGTTAGGATTGGTATGTTACCACCTGAAAAAGCACTTTGCAGGAGAGGTTTTAGGCTGTAGCGTTAGTTGGAAGTGTTAAAAGAAAAATCTTAGCCAAGTTAAATTTCACGGTTTAATTCAGCAAAGAACGGTTCGAGAATCAGGCAGGCTCAGAGAGATTGCAGCGCCAAGTGATTGAAGATTTATAGACAGAAAAAGGCCACAGTGAGATTTGATCCTGCTGCTGCACTCCAGCCTGAGCGACACAAGACCTTGTCTCTTTAAACACACACACACGTTAAAACTGAGGAAATGTGGTAGTTAAAACTAGTTATTGAAAAATGGGATGGATGTATTTTGGCAAAGTAAAGCCTGATGAAAGCTGAAGAAAATAGGATATTCTTATGTTTGGTAACTGTAGCAAACTATCCTATGTCTGTATATATGTGTACGTGTACGTGTGTGTGTGTGTGTGTGTGTGTGTGTATATATATATATATATTTTTTTTTTTTTGAGACGGAGTTTTACTGTTTTCGCCCAGGCTGGGGTGCAGTGGTACCATCTGGCTCACTGCAACCTCCACCTCCCAGATTCAAGCGATTCTCCTACCTCAGCCTTCCGAGTAGCTGGGATTACAGGCATCCGCCACCACACCCAGTTCATATTTGTATTTTTAGTAGATGGGGTTTCACCATGTTTCCCAGGCTGGTCTCAAACTCCTGACCTCGGGTGATCTGCCTGCCTTGCCCTCCCAGAGTGCTGGGATTACAGGCATGAGTTACCACGCCTGGCCACTATGCCTGTTTATTGCTGAATGTTGATTCCCATGGTTATTTTTATCCAAAGTCATGACTTGAAATGCCATTGTTAGCAATGACTCCCAATTTTAGATTTTTAACCTTGACCTCTTAAAATTCTTTGTGATGTTAGAGTCAATCAGTAGATTTAGGTATTACAATTGTAATTATTACACATTTTAGGAGTCATTTTAGATAAGATGTCAAGCTGAAGTTAACAGGAACATCTGATAGTGAGATATGTCCTGGAAAGTGTAGAAAACCAGAGATACAGCTTTATTTCTATACACACATAATCAAGATAAGAATTTCCTAATATGCTGAGTCTCCTATCACTTCATCTAAACCCTGTGTTGCACATTTCATTCTTCATATCCCATTTGTCAGTAAAACAGCACCAATTTACATCTTTTTTCATATCTTCAGCACAAGGTCATTTATTCCAAAAGCACTGAGTGCCTACAAAAATGTCACATACTGCTTAGAGCTGGCAATTTTAAAATTACCAAAACATCCTTGCCCTCTCAAGATCTGTTTTGTGGAGCCATTTGCAATCTAAATCTTGATTTTTTTTTTTCTTCCTGTTTTTTGTTTGTTTTTGAGATAGGGTCTTTGTCGCCCAGGCTGGAGTGCAGTGGGACCATCATAGCTCACTGCAGCCTTAAACTCCTGGCCTCAAGGGGTCCTCCCACCTCAGCCTCCTAAAGTGTTCAGATTACAGGCATGAGCCACTGCACCCAGCCTCAAATTTTAGAGGTATCAGTTGAGACTCTATTTTTCAAAATCAGGAAGACTTGAAAGAATGTTTTGGATAATTTTGAAAACGAGCCAATATAACTGGCAAAATAATATATTTTTATTTTTTTTAAAGGTACTTTTTATTGCTGTTTTTGGAGACAGGGTCTCACTCTGTCACCCAGGCTAGAGGCTGGAGTACAGTGGCACCATTATAGCCCACTGCAGTTTTGACCTCCTGGGCTCAAAGCAGACCTCCCACCTCAGCCTCCTGAGAACCTGGACTGTGGTGCAAACCACCACATCCAGCTTTTTTTTTTTTTTTTTTTTACTTCCTATAGAGACAGGGTCTTACTATGTTACCCAGGCTGGTCTCAAACTCCAGGTCTCAAGACCCTCCCACCTTGGCTTCCCAAACTGCTGGGACTAGAGGTGTGAGCTGTTGCACCTGTGGTTCTTCCTGTGCCTCTCTTCGGCAGACTCTGTAGTGAGGAAGCTTAAGCAATTCATTAAACAATTTAAAGAATAACTTGAGTTTCTGAAGAATGTTTATTAACACAAGTATTTTAAGAAGTGAGGCTGGGCAGTGGCCCATGCCTGTAATCATAGCACTTTGGGAAGCCGAGGCAGGCGGATTACCTGAGCATAGGAGTCTGAGACCAGCCTGGGCAACATAATGAGAATGTCTCAAAAAAAAAAAAAAAAAAATTAAAAAAAATTTTTGAAGGCCGGGCGCGGTGGCTCAAGCCTGTAATCCCAGCACTTTGGGAGGCTGAGGCGGGTGGATCACGAGGTCAAGAGATCGAGACCATCTTGGTCAACATGGTGAAACCCCGTCTCTACTAAAAATACAAAAAATTAGCTGGGCGTGGTGGCGCGTGCCTGTAATCCCAGCTACTCAGGAGGCTGAGGCAGGAGAATTGCCTGAACTCAGGAGGCGGAGGTTGCGGTGAGCCGAGATCGCGCCATTGCACTCCAGCCTGGGTAACAAGAGCGAAACTCCGTCTCAAAAAAAAATTTTTTGAGAAAGAAGTGAGAGTATCACTGAGCTTAGAGTAAAGGAGTATGGTTATTTATAATCCTTAATAAAGTAGGCTGGGTGCAGTAGCTCACACCTGTAATCCCAGCACTTTGGGAGGCCCAGGTGGGTGGATCACCTGAGGTCAGCAGTTCAAGACCACCCTAAGCAACATGGTGAAATCCTGTCTCTACTAAAAATACAAAAATTAGCCAGGTGTGGTGGCACATGCCTATAATCCCAGCTACAGGAGGCTGAGGCAGGAGAAACCTTTGAACCTGAGAGGTGGAGGTTGCAGTGAGCTGAGACTATACCATTACACTGCAGCCTGGGTCACAGAGCAAGACTCCGTCTCCAAAAAAAATATAATGTATTAGTATACCATCTTTATTGCAGTAAAATATACATACGATAAAGTTTACCATTTTAACCTTTTTTTTTTTTTTTTTTTAAACTGAGTAGCTGGGATTACAGGCACACACCACCTCGCCCAGCTAATTTTTGTGTCTTTAGTAGAGATGGGGTTTCACCGTATTGGTCAAGTTGGTCTCGAACACCTGACCTCGTGATCCACACGCCTTGGCCTTTCAAAGTGCTGGGTTTACAGGCATGAGCCACCGTGCCCAGCCTATTTTAACCATTTTTTAGTGTATAGTTCAGTGGCATTAAATATGTTCACATTGTATTGTAACCATCATCACTATTCTCCAGAATTTTTTTATCTTCCGAAACTGAAACTCTTAATGTACCTTTTTATGAAGTGGTATAAGTACAGCACAAAAGACTCTTCTAAAGAGCCATTTTTCGTTTTCCTAATTAGATTTCCTTCTACCAGGGAAAAATTTTTTTTTAAATCTCTGGCATTAAGTCATTTAAGTAATGTATGATATTTGCATAGCCCTTTAAATTATAACTCTTGAATTTTTATACCATTTGATGGAACAGCAAGAGACAATGCTAGATTTTAAGTATAGCTTTGGTTTTGAGTTTCATAGAGTTTATTAAAAGGAGAAAACATGGCTGGGAGTGGTGGCTCATGCCTGTAATCCCAACACTTTGGGAGGCCGAGGTGGGCAGATCACCTGAAATCAGGAGTTTGAGACCATCCTGGCCAACATGGTGAAACCCCATCTGCACTAAAAAAAAAAAAAAAAAAATTAGCTGGGCATGGTGGCACACACCTGTAGTCCCAGCTACTGGGGGTCAGGGACTGAGGCATGAGAATTGCTTGAACCTGGGATGCGGAGGTTGCAGTGAGCCAAGATCTCTAACACTGCACTCCAGCCTGGGCAACAGAGTGAGACTTCATCTCAAAAAAATAACCAACTAGAAAACATCTAAATTGCTAACAGGTAAAATCATAGTAATTTTAAATACACCAAAGAAAATAAAAATTATGGCCTCTAAAGAGAGAGTGGGATTATGACACCAAGACTTGGCGTCATTTAGGATCATGCTGGTGGAAGCAGAAGCTTGGACCAGAGTCGGGCGTGGTGGC